CAAAACCCAATGATATCAACGATGGACTTATGGAGCTCCTTATCATGATCAACGCCTGCAAGACCGCCTCGGCCCGCCGCATCACAGCCGTCATCCCCAACTTCCCTTATGCCCGCCAAGATAAGAAGGACAAGAGCCGTGCTCCCATCACCGCCAAGCTGATGGCAAACATGCTCCAGACTGCCGGCTGCAACCACGTCATTACCATGGACCTGCACGCCAGCCAGATCCAGGGCTTCTTCAACGTCCCCGTCGACAACCTGTACGCCGAGCCCAGCATGCTCAAGTACATCCGTGAGAATCTCGATGTCAGCAACTGCGTCATTGTCAGCCCAGATGCCGGTGGTGCCAAGCGGTGAGTTGTGTCTATCTCGATACTATAGATGTATCTGTATGGGGTAGTCCAAGGGCTAATTTAGATTGCGATTAGTGCTACTGCCATTGCTGATCGCCTAGACTTGCAATTCGCGCTTATTCACAAGGAACGTGCCCGCCCCAACGAGGTCTCGCGCATGGTACTTGTCGGTAATGTCAAGGACAAGATCGCTATCATCGTCGACGACATGGCCGACACCTGCGGCACGCTCGCTAAGGCTGCCGAGACTGTCATGCAGCACGGCGCCACTGAAGTCAACGCCATCGTTGTGCACGGCATTCTGTCCGGCAAGGCAATTGAGAACCTGAACGGCAGCTGCCTCAAGCGGTATGTACACGCCCGAATACTAGCGACGGTTCACCTTTGACTAACTCTTTCCTCGCAGTATTATCGTCAGCAACACTGTCCCATTGGGCGACAAGCAAGAGCAGTGTGACAAGATCCATACGATCGATATCAGCCCTACATTGGCCGAGGCATGCCGTCGTACACACAACGGCGAGTCAGTTAGCTTCTTGTTCTCGCACACCGTGGGATAAATCTGAGGCAGAAATGAATTGTTACATCAAGACAGAGGATCAAATCTACGGGTTGTCCTAGTGGTTGCCTACGAGCGTTGCAAAACCGTGGAGTGAGCGGGAAACAAAAAAATACGATTTTTATGACCCTTTTTATTAGCCGGACGAGGATGTTAGTTCCCGGGTGTTTTATTATTCTTTACTATGCTTTTTTTTTTCTTTAAGAGAGAGACCAACTTCTAAATGTTGGCTTTACGCAGTTCTCTCTGGTGGAAGTTGGTTATGCTTGGTTGGGTTCGGTTGCATCGTGCATGTGCGTGCTTTTCATATGCAGAGTACTTGCTATTTGGTTTAGATTATTTCAAGGCCTCGGGGCCGTTTCACAACATTCAATTAGACATGATGTTTTTCTATAGAAGTGCTGCTATGAGTGTGTTGACTTGGCTGTTTAAAATGATGCATTAAGCCATTTGAAAGGGGTTGGACATAAAAGAGCCATGTAGGGATATATATGTATCAAGGTCCGGAAAGACATCCGATATTGACCGCAAAGTGCAGTCATAACTTGAAAAATATATATCCGAACACACGTGACCATATATATTGACGGGGATGAGAAGCGGGGGGATTTAAGGTAATACTAGTACATCATTATATAAACTAGTGTATATAGATATATATAAGTGAGTTCATTTGGAGATCCACAAGGGGGAAGGAGACTACAAACTCCACTACGCCTACTCATTGAAGAACCTCAAGCAATTGACAGAACTGAGTATTGAAATTTGCATGCACTCCATTCAAAAAAAAAGGGTCATCAAAAAAAGGTAGGTTCAACACAGATGGAGTATATCAACCACTCAGCCTGCTTCGTACGTTTTGAAACCTGTTCCCCGTCTCTTTTCTTGTTCCCTTTTCTTTTTATCAGACATGTATCCTCCGCGCCCCTGAGAGTGATTCATTTTTTGTGAATTCCCCTCAAATCATCCCAGAGACGTGAAGCTCCTCCATTAAACCCCATCGCCGCAGAACGAAATCATAAAACCGCGGGTTTGGAAGTTTACTTCCGCATGGAGGAAGCCCTCCGCTTGCGGAGCTCATCACGCTTGGCCTTCTCCTCGTGGACACGGCCGGCAAGGAGCTTAGCGTAGTCGTTACTATGTAACCGTTAGTTCAGATGTCTTCAAACCAATGTACACTCGTAGATCATAGATCACGGCGTAAAAAGAAGAGGGAGTCTTACGCAGCATCGCGGGCAGTCTCAGCACGGCGGCGCTTGATGGCAACACGTTGGCGCTTGCGCTGGAGACGCTGGGGGGTAACCAGACGCTGGATCTTGGGGGCCTTGGTGTAATCCTTCTTGCCCTCCTTGGTGACGGTGCGGCGGATGACGAACTTGCGGACGTCGTCCTTCTTGTCGAGACCGAAGAAGCGGCGGATCTTGGTGGCACGCTTGGGGCCGAGACGCTTGGGGACAACGGTGTCGGTGAGACCGGGGAGCTCACCCTCGCCCTGCTTGACGATGGACAGAGCAAGGACGGAAAGGTCCAGACCGGTGATGGCACCACGGACGGACTTGCGCTTGCGCTCACCGGTGCGACGGGGGCGGTAGCAGCTGTGGCCGTCGGCGAGGAGCAGACGGGTACGGGTGGGGAGGAGAACTGTAGAAATTCGATAAGTATCCTGCGGGTTGTTGATTGTATCCCTGGGGCTGGATATAATTTTTTTGGTCATTCCCCAGGTTGTTGTGCGGATTTGTACGTACCACCCTGCTTCATGGGGAAACCTATTAAAAATCGTCAGCATGGTCCTCGTGTGCGTTCAAATTCAATCCTCCGTCATCGAGTTGTTGCTCCGACACTGGAAATAGGGAGGGAATATTATGCGTACCCTGCTTGTCGTTACCACCGGTAATCTTGAACACGTAACCGCTGAACTCATCACCGAGAGCATCGCCGGGAACCTAATCAAATAAATCCTAATTAGCCAGTCGTTCTCCATAGTCGTGTGTGTGTGTATGTGTATGTTGATCGATTTGATTGTCGGGCAGTCGGGAAAGGATGAGGTTCAAGGGAGTGCTGACTTCGGCGCCCATGCGCTTCTCCATGAAGGGACGCAGCTTGCGCTCATCGTCAATCTCGATGATTTTCTGGGACCCATTGGCCGGGTAGGAGACGTTGAGCTTCATCTTGACGGAGTGCGGCGCGGTCAAGACGGTAGCGCGTGTGTTGTCGATTTGTGAGATTGTCGTCGAAGGAGTCCGTATTGTGGATTTTTTAGTTCGCCGGCTTAGCGAGGTGCAAGTCACGTGTCACATGTGGGAAGTAGGGCTTGAGTCTTCCAAATTAGGTTTAGCGTGATGCATTAAGTCATGTGATTTGCCTCAGCACCCAGGCATTTGCTTTTCTTCGTCCATCAACTCCTTAAGTCAAGTTCACAAAAATGTTGTGGCATGGGTGTCTACAGACTGCTGAAGACTCCAAACTGTATCTTCAATTGTGACCATGCAACTCGCCCCGGGGAACTATGCATCCAAGAGACAACAGATATTCAGGACCGCCAACAACTAAAGCTTTCTTTCCGCCTTGAACCAACACATTGCTCCTTTACTCAGGTGTGAGACCTCCTAATGAGAGTTTTGAATTCATCCGATCTAGAATCACCAACGGCATGATGAATGAATGTTTCGGGTCCTGGTGCAGTCCCGACCGGCCGAACTTCAACATTAATATATGAAGACTGAACACGATCTCAGAAGGCGACTCATTGACAGTCACCACGAGCCTTGTACGACAATCGCAAATCAACATCCTCCGCTAACCATATTTGACTTCATACCCGACCTTTGGAGTGAAACATTGGAGTGAACTATTGGCCTGTGGGGCCCTGCAAACGCTAGAAAGTGCACAGATCATCGAGACCGTGTCATAGATGCAAACAACCCTTTGATTTACTATCTCATATGATAGATGAATAGGGGGGTTCAAAGTATGGAGACTCATGCCGGGTATTGACTAATTGCAGTGCGTATAAAAATGATCGACTGATTATGCGGCCCCTGTCCTTGACAATTTAGGGCTTCTAGGAATATAATTCATTTGGCTCAAAATAATATTAGGGACGTCCCAAGATCATACCCATAACACTACAATATTTTTGGATGTCTTTAATATCTTCTCTATCTCAGTGGTAGTGTTAAAAGCCAGAAAGATGAGAACTAAATCGTACCTTTTTTCCCCATACTTTATTCTCCCGTACCCATTTCCAAATAGAAACATTGTGTGTCACTGTCTCCGCTCTAAAGATCTGCAGTATACAATGTCTTGGCACGTATCTCAAAACAATTTCGTGTCAGACGGCAAATAGGCCAAAAGAATGTCTAATCATTGAGACAATGCAAAACAGCACACTGGACGTGACTTTGTAGGGCTTTAATATGAGATGGAAGCAGACTGGTCTCCACTATTCGAATTGAAGAATGTGAAAGAACAGAACCTAATTACCACCAGGCCTAGACACAGAAAGAAAAGAGAGATCAAGAACTGCGGCCCAGTCCAAGTAAAAAGCAGTTAAAATCAATGACTCTGATTTGCCTAGTTCGTTAGTCGACTCGGCTCTCTCCGAGCCACGCGGCCAATCTACAAATGTGACGAATTCACCTTTAATATAGGAATTTTTAGCTTTTTTTTCGGTATTTACTCTTGCGTACTATAGGTTTAGCTCATAGTCTTGATCAGTTTATCCTATTTATTTCTTCTCTTCATTTCCCCATAGTGTTTCTGGAGAAACCGCCACATACCCGACCTTGCCGGTTCTTCTTGTCCGAGTGGAGATTTCCTCGTAACCTCTAATTCTCTGCAGTGCTGGATAACCTTTTGGTTTCCCGCAGAATTTGACAGACATTTTTTTCCGATTGCATTGTGTCGCATTGTTATTGGGGCCCAGCTTGGCAAAGTCTACCGCTTGACAACGTACACTTTGCCATCGGAACCAATTGTGGCACTTTTTTAATATCCGAAACAAGCAGAAGACGTATGTTACAAGCTCGGCACTGCTAAACTGGGCCTATTCGGTCTATTTGGGCATCTGGCTGTTCAATTGTCACCATGACGCGCCTGTTTAACCGCTTCTACGGGCTATCTGCTGTTGCAGTCTGCATGATTTTCATATCAGCATGGTTTTTGACGTCACGGAGTCTTTCCGATATAGTCCCTTCGGTATCAGAGCCGTTCCAAGTAGCTAGTACATTTGACCAGCGATTAGTCGTGTTCGGGGATTCAGGGAGCGATAATCAATCCGGCGAGCCACAGGGCAAGATATGGACGGACTGGCTATGTTCAATGGTAAGATACCACCTAGAAAGAGCTTAAACGTGGAGAAACAAGCATCATATCTGACTGAAACAATTTGAAACATGATTAGTTCTCCTGCTACCAAGAGAATCTAGCGCAGACAGCAAATCCACTTCTAAAAGGCAGGAACATCGGTGCAGTGGTCGACAACAAAGAACTCGATCTACTAGGCCGATTGTCTCAGACCTACATTCCAGACTTCAAGTCCCAGCTCCAGCAATGGCTAGATGCCGAGTTGGCTGTGACGAAGGGCCTCTCCGAGGAAGCGGTCCGGTCCCGCCAGGACCGGACGATCTTCGTCGTTTCTTTCGGGGTCTGGGATATCTGGAGTCTAATTACAAAGGACTACGACGCAGCAAGTAAATCGGTTGAGCGGCGTATTGCAACGCTTATGGATCAACTTGACGTGCTTTCCGAGCAATGGGGCACAACGGAGCTGAAACTGATTCTGACGCAGACGGTCGACGTGACTTTCCTACCTGGGTTCAAATCCGCTGGTTATCAGTACAAGGATACGGTGCGGATCCTGGAAGAGTGGAATCGGAAGCTGGGTGAAGTGGTCAGGGAGTGGAGTCATGGCACTGTGTATCTTTTTGATACCAATGCTTTTATAATGGACCGGATCCGTGACTGGCAGCTCTATGCGGCGGGGATAGAGGAGGAGAATGAGCTAGGGAAGAATTTGGATGGGTGGGAAAATGTCGAAGAGCCTTGTGTTGAGAGTGGGTTCGGGGTCATGATGTCAAAGGAGAAGAAACAGTGTGAGCATCCAGATAAATATCTGTTCTGGTAAGTGGTCTCCTTTACATCGTCATTCCCTACCATTGCTATAAGAATCGGGAAGGAGGGAGAGATCGACGGACAAAAATACCTTTTTTTGCTGACCGCAACATATTCAGGAACGAAATGCATTTGGGGCCTTTCGCTCAGCGGCTCATGGCTACGGATATCTACCATGGGATTGAAATTTGGAACCCTAAAGGAGTGTCACCGAAGCGCCACAACCGACGGGGGTTTGCAGCTTAGACATTGTCATCAAACGCCATTCATAACTCAAAAAGAAGGAAGAAAAAAGAAAAGAAAAGTGACAAATATGACGTCTCCAAAAGGAGGGTCTATAGCAATGTCGGTACCCGAGCAGAGTCAAATGCAACTATACTTGATGCGGGTGGAAAATGACCAGGTTCCAGGACAAGGGTTCAAAGGTGGATCATGACTTTGAATCAAAAGAAGGGTAAGGTAGTACCGATGTCAAACTGGAACCTGGGAAGATCCAGATACCCGAGACAAGGAATAGGAGAAAAGGTGGTATTGTTCCTCGAAATCAAGTCACGGAGTAACGGATCGACAGATTACTACTCCATAGTTGGTTCTTTTTTTAAAAAAATAAATTATATTCTACATGAATAAGAAGTAACCAGGTGACAATGTTTAGAACAAGTAAAGTCTAATATGAGAAATGGCTTTACTAGTTAAACGTGTTTGTTAGCGATTTCTTTGTCTAATTTGACGGGGAACCGATTTAGGAAATCCCCTGACCAATCAATTTGAGGTGAACGACAGGCTCGATCAAGCGGGTCGCCGCATCCGGAGACAAAGAAAACAATGACTCTAGTGCCTTGGCCCTAAAGATTAGGAAATAGGGGACTTTTTTTTTTTCCAAATTGACACCTCATATTTACTTGGTTGTTGCTTCAAATGTTTGGTTGGGGTTCATATCTGGAGGGTACCGTATCGTTGGAAATTCATATAGGAAAAGTTGAGATTTTTTTTTCATGATTTTTCACAAAGAAGAAACAAACCATTTCATTTCATTTATTTATCTCGGTTGGCTCGGTCAAAATATCAAAATCTGGAGCTATTGTCAAAGAATAAGCCGCTAGACAGGGATTCCGGGGGAGAGAGAAACCCAACCCAAGACAAAGAAACCCGCGCTTTTTAGGGCTTTGGGTCCAAACGCTATACTTCGCTTTGTCCTAATCCCTGATATTTCCCAGTTCAATCAATTCTTATTATTATTTCCCCCATTTTATATTCGGATTCATTTTCTTTGTTTCTCGCTTCTAGCCCCTCTCTTTTTCTTTCTTGTTATTTCTTGGGGTCGCTCCCTACTCACTTCTGCCTTCTCTTTCAAGAGGGTTATACTTTCTTACCTTTCCCTTGTCGCCTATTTCTTTCATTCCAAAGGTCGCCTTCGAACCCTTTAATTGAAAAGTATTAAATAAATGTCTTACGATCGAGTTCTCCCCAACCCTGTTGCTCTACGCTATGAGTCTGCCCAAGTCACACTCATTAGACCGAGCAATTTACTCGATCACCAAATCATGAACGAAGAATTGCCTAAATCTGTGGCCATGAGACATCTTGCCGACGGTGGTCCAGTTGGGGCTGCAGTCAGATATCCTGATCCTCGATCAACGGGGGTACACCAGACACATCAACATATCTCCCTAACTGCATCTAAAGAGGCACACAAGATGTCCTCTGGCTCTCTGAAACCTGTCGGTCCTATCATCTCAACCAAGGAATTGCCCATGCGAGAAAGATCAGATCGATCATCGTCTTCTTCAGCCAGCAGCAACAGTCCCGTCAAATCACAGAAAGAGAGTGCCATGCAATTTTGCCTCTGTCAACCGGATCCGAAAATCCCTCGGCCTCGTAATGGTGAGTTGATACTGTCCGTACCGTCACTAGAGCTTGGCAAGTGCTTTTTCGATTGTTTCTTTTTTGGTCATCAGTAGCCAGATCTGATCTTTCGAACATATGGAATGTGGCTAATATTTCGGGAACTTTAGCTTTTATTCTGTACCGTCAGCATTATCAGGCCATGGTGGTCGCTCATAACCCTGGCTTGGCCAATCCCGAGATCTCCAAGATTATTGGAGAACAGTGGCGATCTCTTTCAGAGGATGACAAAAGTAAATGGAAGGCACTTGCAGAGGTAAGATAGACGATCTATGGCAAAGTGATCTCAAACGCTGACAATTACACCAGGATGAAAAAGCTCGGCATCAGCAGCAATATCCCGATTACCGCTACCAGCCTCGGCGGTATGGTCGAGATGGAAGCTCTCGGAGTGCGACCTCAGGCATTGGGCACAACCCATCTGGTTCATCACACTGCAACAGATGTGGTGGTCGATTGATGAATGCGCCCGCTTCCCCCATGACCCCATTCACGCCCAGCAGTGGGCCTGGGGTTCGACCACCATCAAACTTTTCAGTATCATCACCACACCCAAATGGGATGCCGCCAAGAAGCGCCATAAGCCAGGAGAAAAACTTCAATCAAATACCGAAGCCGGCAAAGATGGACCATGATCCCCGTTCTCGTCAAAGACACTGGGAAGAACCTGGTGGTCGATCTCCCGATAATAAACGCCGCCGAGTATCCCACGGCTCATTCAAGCCAACTTTACACCCCTCCTACAGGGACCGCAGTCCTGGCAGTGGCATACCAGAGTCACCGCACCCAATGACCCCCTGGAGTGCTCGCCCTGATATGCCTCCACGCCATCTCCCCATGCTTCAGCCATACCGAAGTGCGCCGGGACAGCCACACCCGGACCCCAGTCTGAAACTACCGCCACTCCAGACCGCAACACCAGTGACTCCCATGACTCCCTATCCTCAAGAAGGATCCAGTGTCGAGGCAACAGTCATGACAATACCCTTCCTCAACAAGATCAAAGTCCTCGCCAAGATCTCCCCACCACTGCTCCCCTCATTCCGCGACGGCATCCCCCCAGCCCGCGGCCCTGTCATCGCCATCGACGGTCAAGACCCCGATCTCGTCCAGACAGCCGTCGAATACCTCAACAACCTCTTAAAAAAGGAAACAAAGTACCACGTACGGGTATTTGACGGTCCAGAAATCAAGGCACCCCGACCCATCTCCGCAGAAGCAGGCCAGATGGGCGACGCCACAGTCGACTACCTCAACACCATCTCAGCCTGGCACCGGATCTCCGACGAAGTCGTCGGATTTGTGAAATCCACCTCAAGAGCCGGCTCCGTCGACGCCCGCTCCACAACAACAGAAGAGGAAACCGCTCCAAATGTCTCCCCCCGCTCCCTCATTCCCAAGACCGCAAACATTCACATCCACTCTCCAGCCCAGTCAAGCGAGAACGGCTCCGAGGTCAGCGCGATCACAACAGCCAGCCACTATGGCGTGCCGATCGCGCTCGTCCCGCGCTACCAGCTCACCACGGCGGACGCATTCGCCTGCTCCACGCCAATCGGCGACTCCTACGCACCGCTCGATCATTGGCAGTGGATGGCATCGCTGTGGCGCGCGTGTGTTGGTCCTGATATCACGGTTTACATTCGTGAATGCAGTAAGGAGGAGCTGGATCGCATGGGTGGGAATTCTGTTGAGGTGCGTCTGCAGGATGCCCGCACAGTTGTACTAAGGAAAGTTGTAGGGCGGGATTTGGAAGAAAAGGCACTTAAGCGGATGGGTTTTGAGATTGAGGATTTTTTGACTCAGTGAGTTAAAGCTCAAGCCGGTTTTGGGTAGAATGTAATTTGGTGCATTGTTCAAGGATTCATGGACTGGGGAATGTGATAGATTAGAATTGTGGTAATTTGATGATGGCTCATCGTGCTTCTAGTGAATAATATTAATATAATGAAAACAGTGTAAATGCAGTTAATATCGAAATGTAATGTATCGAAAAAGATGTGGTCCCCCGTGGGCGCTCGGACCCTCTTGACCCACCCGACAACCCGACAGAGCCTCTCTTATCAAAGGCGGTCACTATTCTGCCAATCTATCTCCGGATTCCATCGCATGTTGTTTTTTTCTCGCAACTCACCATGCCGGAGCTAAGCCAATGCCCCTGTGGCAACTGGAATAGGCTACCAGTAGATGTGGGCGATTTTCCCTCGGGGCTTCCTCAACCCTCGCCATTTTCGTCCAGACCTGAACCTGAGATGAAACTTGAGGACCCGGAGGCGATGGATGAGCCTCTCGACACTGTCATGCCTGATCACTATATCCCAGCCGGCGTGTTGGCTAAATCCACAAACCGTTACCCAGGCTCCAAGATAGCACTACTAGAAAAACACGAATGGATCTACACGCGATCTCTTAGCGACAGCGACAACGTACAGGTTTTCGTGCTACCACAGCAAAAGTCCATTTCCCGACCAAATAAAGGCGGTGAATCCGAAACGGCCATTGAATCTGCTCTCAAGCTCGTCATGTCCATGATCGATAGCTCCCCGGAAGCATGGAACGGCTCAGTTGATGCCCATGCTGGTCTACTTACCAACACTCAATCCGATATCGAAGAAGAATCCCTGTATTATATTTACAATACACTGCAGGATCCTGAACCAAACTTGGACCAGGTAACAGATCCATTCTCCCAGGTTGCCATGGAGGAGTTGCTTGATGATTCGGTCCGGGGTCTTAAAACAACGCTGTATCCGTATCAGCGCAAATCCGCTGCAGCGATGGTTCAGCGGGAGGCACAGCCAGCATTGATGCTTGATCCGAGATTCCAACCTTGGCAGGGTCCGACTGGTTTGGAGTTCTACTATGATAAGGTGAATGGGAGCATTTTGAGGGAGAAGATATATTATCCGGAAGCCTGTGGAGGTGGGTACTCATATCTTTGGAACTGATCTTCTCAATAATACATCGGTGAATTATACTGACTTTAACTAGGGATTTTGGCGGAGTCCATGGGATGCGGAAAGACCCTCATCAGTCTTGCTGTGATATTGGCTACGCGGGGACATTCCCCCAAAATCCCAGTGGAATATCAAACACTTACTAATCCCATCAGGGAGAAGACTGGGACATTAATGCAAATGGCGGCTGCTGCTGCTAATCGGTTTGTGCCCTGGAAGGACCGCTTTGACCGAATGCAAGACAACGGAGAAGATTATATTAATTGTAGGAAGGCGTGCGAGGCCCAAAGTTGTTCCTACATTATCCCGGCTCCCACCCAATATGGAGGAAGATCTAAATCAGAGTACAACCGATCAGCCAAGGAGATTCGTCTCTCCTCTGGTACACTCATTATTGTTCCGGATAACTTGGTGGACCACTGGGAACATGAGATCGCTACTCACACTAGCCATCTAAAAGTTCTAGTCCTACACCAAAAATCGGTCACAACACCATCAATAGACGAACTGCTGGACTTCGACATTGTGCTCTTCTCTAAAAGCCGATTCAAAAAACGGGGCAAATTTGGGCAGAACCCGAATTCTTCTATTTTTGATCTTCACTGGTTGCGAGTTATTGTCGATGAAGGGCATGATGTTGCTGGCAGAACAACGGACATGGTCCACTTGCTAAAGGAAGGGCTGCACTGTGAGCGCCGGTGGATCATTTCAGGAACCCCTCTCTCGGAATTATATGGAGTGGAACTCAGCATTGCTTCACAGGAAGTGGACACAGATGATACTGAGTCTTCACCTGATGGTCACACTGATGCCACCTTGCAAAAAGACAAAAAGGCAGGTAAGAACATCAGCCATGAAATCAAAGATCTGGATAAATTGGGCCTCATGGTTCATCATTTCTTTAAACTCATGCCTTGGTCCAATGATCGTGGGGATTGGTCACTTTACACAAGAAGGGTGGGTGAAGATGGAATGTTTCGAAAATCTCCATCTCTGCGTGCCACCCTTCAGAGTCTTGTGGTCCGACACCAATACGAAACGGTCAAAAAAGAGATTACTCTTCCACCATTGTACAACAAAGTGGTCTATCTTGAGCCAACCTTCTACGACCGGTTGTATATTAACATATTCCTTTTCACACTGGCAGTCAACGCCATTACATCTGAACGTCAAGGCCCCGACTATATGTTTGATGAGAACAAGAAAAACAAAAGCAAACTCACTGAGTTGATACAAAACTTACGTCTGGCTGGATTTTGGTGGGCTGGTTCCGATGATGTCCAAAGTACTATCGATATTGCTCTAGAATATCTCGAGGCAAACCAAGAGAAGATGACAGAGGCAGATTTCATCCAATTAAAACATGGAATCCAGATCGGACGAAAGGCAATCAGTTCTCCTGGCTGGAATGGATTCAAAAAAATGCATGAGCTAGGTGTCTTTGTTCGGCATTTCCCAGAACATGCTCGCAACATGTGGGCCCTTGATTCCACTGACGCCGACCACGAGCCCCTGCTCATGGGTATGACCCAGGCCCGTCGCGCGCAACAATTCGTGACCAGCCATCTCCGCGCGCCTGATCCCGCCGACGGTCTTGCGGGAGATGGTATCAAGGTCCGTCTGGAGCTAATTAAACATGGCCAGCAGACAGGTACTCTTGCTCATAGCGGCGCCCCCGAGTCGTCAAATTCCCCAGCGAGTAAATCAAGCTCGAAAAGAAAAAGGAAAAGTCCAGAGCAAACTTTTAAGAAGAAACTCTTCCACACCATCCCAGAGACATCGCCCTTGAAACAAACGAAGCTGGAAGGAGTAGCGTCGTCCAAGCTTCGATACTTGTTAGAGCAAGTGCTGAAGTTCCAGAAGACCGAGAAAATCATCATCTTCTACGAGCACGACAACGTCGCTTCCTGGGTTGAGCAAGGCCTGGATCTAATAGCAGTCAACTTCCGCACCTACGCCAGTACTTCAAGCATGGGATCCAATCTCAAAACTGAACATCTGTTCCAATTCCGCCAAACCGAGGAGGTTCGCGTTCTGCTGATGAGCGTCAAGGAAGCCTCACACGGCCTCCACATTCCCGAAGCTTCACGGATGTACATCGTCAACCCGATTTGGGAACGTAACGTGGAGAGCCAAGCCATCAAACGAGCCCACAGAATTGGACAGAAAAGACCAGTCTATGTCGAAACTCTTGTCTTGGGCGATACTCTCGAACACCGGATGCTCAACCGCAGCAAAAACATGACTGCCGAGGAGACGAAGCGCGCAGGAAGTAACCCGCTAGACGATAATACCATGAGCAAGATCATTCAGAACGAGCCCTTCCTGCCTATGCTCGACGAGGCTTCGTCTGGCATGGCTCCGCTAACACATCCGATCGGACTATTTGATCAGCATAGATTGCCGATTCCCGATAACGAGGGCCCTGCGCTGGGGCCATCACGGCAGCGGCCACAGCAGAAAAAGAAACAGCAGCGAGGTCCCGAGTCTGATGTCAACTCCGATTATGCTGGTGTTCAGGGACCACTGGCCCAGCGGCGACGGATTGGCTTTGCGAGCCATGATCAGGTTATGGGTGAGCGTGTAGATGCGCTTCCTGGGCCGCAACAGGCTGTACCCCCGTCGAATTCGGTTTTTGGTGCTGGAGTTCCTGTGTCTGGGCCTTCGCGGACCGGCTTCGCGGATGATGTGATAGTTATTAAGGATAGTGGTGAAGAATCTGGCCCATTGCACTCCGTGCCGATGCATTCTGTGTCAGATTTGCCCGGCGGTGTTGACAGACGAGTCTCGTTGTTTGGGCCATTTGCATGATATAATGATATAAAGCTCTAGGTAGCTAATCTACGACGTGATGATATTACCATAAACGGAAAAGCCCTATATATATGCATAGAGTCTAATCCCGATTAGGTTTAGTTCGATTGCCTACAATCTCATCCCCGCACCCCTCATCCTCGCTTGTTCAATTCTCCAATTCCTAAGTAACCAAGAAAAGATGAGCAAGCCAATTGGCGAAGAAGCCATTGTAGTAGGGATCTCCGGGCCCTCGAGCAGCGGCAAGACAACGCTTGCACGGTTACTACAGCGTGTATTCTTCGGGGTAAATCTCAAGAAAGACTCACGTCTTAACACATTCATAATCCACGAAGATGATTTCTATTTCCCAGATGATAAGTACGTACATAATATACACACAACTATGGCCATACTAACCACCCCAGAATTCCATACACGACAACCCCCTCCGGCGAAAAAATACAAGACTGGGACACTGCCGCCGCAATTGACATACCCTTCCTCTCACAAGCACTGAACTACGTGCGCGAAAAGGGGGCGCTCCCTCCACGACTACGGAGTAAGGAAGATCAGAACGATGAGACTTCTTCCGGCGTGTCGGATGAGTTAGTGCAGGAATTGCGGGGTATTGTTTGTTCTCGATTGCTGGATGAATCCGGGAAACGGAGTGAAAAGACCATTGCGTTCTTAGAAGGGTTTTTGCTATTTGCGCCTCCCCAGCAAGAAGAACACGTCCTGCGTTCCGTTCATGATGCTATGAATCTCCATCTGTTCCTGCCTGCGGCGTATGAGCTTGTTAAGGCTAGACGTGAGGGGAGGAGTGGGTATGTGACTGTTGGGGCGGCGCCGGAACCACCAGTGCAGACTGGGGACGGGGGAGGGAAGGCGAGGACGGAGGTTGATCTTGATGCTGAGGATGATCGACCACCGCAGAATTTCTGGGTCGATCCGCCGGGGTATGTGGATGATGTTGTTTGGCCGCGGTATGTGACGGATCATGCTTGGTTGTTGGTTGCCGAGGATGAAGAGGATAAGGAGGATGGGAGTCAGGCTGATGTTGTGCGGAGGGTTGGAAATGGGACTAGGGCGAGGACTGATGTTGGGGTTGAGGTTGCACCGGGTCATGGAAGTGCAGGGATGGATGTTGTTTTGAGGTGGGCTGTTGAGTTGATATTGAAATATTATCTGGATCGAACTCAGGTATAGTAGAATAGGATATCGCTTAAGCAATAGATTTTTGTCTTTTACTTTTGCTATCTAAGAACGTAGTGCGGTCTCAAGGGCGAAGTTGTCCCACCATATAGTGGGAAGCTATAATTTCAGGACCGCCCACGAATTGATTATACGCAGGTGGGCTAGATATCGTCAGAAGTGCATGTTTGGACTGTAGATAGAGCTGCCTACTATATCTTGAGAGAAGCTAAGGGAATATAAGAAGAGCCTCTAGTGGAAAGGGTCAAAGGAGCAAAAAAAAAAAAAAAAAGCAACCCCCCCAATTACTCCTGCCGAGGATCGAAATCCTAACTAGTTTCACCACTACTGAGCTTCCCAATGCGGTATCACCCGGTCTCACTGTTTCACTCAGTAATCAGATGGCCTCGCGTCTCTCACCCACTCAGCCACCCAGGGAGGATTGTGCATATTACATTTAACTTAGGTCAAGTAGACCATCTGGATATCATTGAATCAAGTAATAGCACCTATTATTCACTGTTACAGACCTACCTCATCGGGCCTTGCTCTCTTGTCCATGTGTCTATATTAGAAAGGGTAGACTGCAGATGTACTCGTCGAGAACTACTCTCATTCTGGCGAATTTACATCCAATTCCAGCTCAGGTGGCATAAAGAACACTAAAAGACTACCAAGAAGACATGGTATGAGCATAAGCCGCCAACTATTCTTACTTCAACGCACAACGGAGTAACGATATTCATTAACGTTTCACTACTTGTACAGTGGCTTAAGCAATAGATCTGCAATGCCTGCTATCTGCTAACTGTAGCAATACTACACCTGATGTTTTTTTCTGTGGTTTCTCATTCATGTCCCGATATTCTCCTTCATAATCATACAAAGCCATCCCTATCGTCAAAGATTTACTAGCGTGGAATTGGTCCTCGCCATCCGAGAAGGTAATCAATGCGGTCCCTCAGGGGCATTGGGGTGACGTCGGCAGGTGTGGTGTTGACAGACTGCTGAGCTTCGGATCGAATCAGCTCAGATTGAAGACCAAATTCCGTCAGGACCGTTTCCGCCTCTTCCCCAACGTCAGTATTGGTAGAATTCTTCGCGTGGTCGACAAAGACATACACTTCGTTTTGGGGGCACGAAGCGTGAAGAGCAAGCGGGTCATACCGGAACCCACAGTTATGCAGTAGATACGACCAGTAGAGGGTGTGAATGGACGCCAAGAAAGCGAAGAGGTGGAAAACGAACTTCAACAGAATCCACAGTCGACGTACAGCTCGGCGTGGCTTCTTTGACTCTGGCTCGGCAGCTCGAGTCTCGGTATTTGTAGACTTGGGAGCTGGAATCTCCCCAACGAAGGTCTGTGTACTTGCAGACTTGAAAGCTAGCCTTTTGCCAAATCGAGGCCCAGACAGTTTAGACCGGGGAAGAACTTCACGTTCGAGAAATGAAGGTGGAGTTTCCATAACTGTGGTCTCAGCTGTAGACTTGGAAGTTGGATCAATGGGAAATGGAGTAAACGTTCCAGACTCGCAAATGCCGAAAAGATCATGGGAATATGGAGTTTTCTCAACTGGGGGCTTAAAATGGTTAAGCTCAACTCCCAGTTCACAACATGGATTTTGGCACCTAGTATCAAGCTTCTCGCGCTTCGGAGAGAGATATCCATGCTTGGGGCCAAGAAGGGCGTAATCTTCTTGGAGAATGGATTCAACATCAGTGTAGCTGATCCTGGTCTTAATCCATGGCAACCAGGTGAGAGCTTTTCCTCGTGGCAGCTTGACTTCCCATGACACCGTGAACATGTCCAGAGCTTGGGGGATGCTGGTGATATTGATGCACGAGACACCAATTTCATCTACATCTGGCACCGGTGGCAGACAAATGGCGTTTACCATAGGCTTCTGTCCTTCGAAATTGGCCTCGAACTCGCCTTCCGGGCCACCATGTACAAAAAGGCGAAATTTGCACTTCTCGGCCCAGAAATTGTGATTGATGAGATCAATGGAGCAGACAGTAGTATACTTGATCAGATAGGTGTACGACGAACCGGCTTCTTCCACCTCGGCCCGTATGACTGCGTTGACCTTGTGGTCCTTGAGTGGCCCGTAGAATTCTGCATTGCACTTACGGAACGGAACCACGAGGCATTTTCCACCATCGAACTGGGCCATCAAGCAGCTTTCCACGAGTGTATGCCGTTTGAAAGATGAAGTCATAAATTCCATCCCCTGGCCTGGTGGTGTTCGGAAGTAGAGATAACAAGACTCGGATTGGGCGAGTCGAGGCAGCCCACTCACAACCAACTCCCACCAACCCCTCGATTTTCCTTTCTGCAGCCTGACTTTGAGAGAAATCGCGATTTGGTATGTGGCATGGTAGACGACGGGAGGGGTCTGTACGTAAATAATGTCATTGTCAAAGACGAGCCTGGGTACGCTGGCAAGTTCCGCGGACGTCCGGGGCAGAGGCAGTTCATCACGGCCCGAGTGCGATGACGATGCGAGTGAATCAAGAGAAATAAGCAGATCCTCCTTCTCTTTGTCACTATATTCGGTGGCAGAAAGGCTTCCGATGCACACACGAGTAGAAAGCGTATCATAATCTCGATGGAGCAAGTTCGCTTCGGTGAGTGGTTCGGTACCGCTCAAGTCAAACTTGCTGGGAGTGTTCGCATTGCCCCGAAGAGGGGTTTCATCAGGTATATTTCCATTGTCAACCGTCGCTCCCTTTCCGTTTAGCGAAAGATGCTCAGATGCAGCCAGGGAATCTGACAGAAGAGTAGGGGCCGACTCTTGGGGCAAAGGGATGTCTTGGGGTGGGATGTTCTCATTGATCACGCTGGATTGGTCTTGACTGACAGAAAGCCTGCCAATGGGGCTGGAGCTGATGATGTCCGTGGTGGCGGTGTCTTGTGACGCAGGTTCCGGTCCGAACGGGTCGATCTTGGTCATCATAAGCTTGTGACGGGTGCTTTGGTAATCATCCTCAGAAGGGATTGAGTCAGGGAGAGAAGCAGCCTTGGCGGATCTCTTCCGAGGGTTGGAGTTCGGGCTACCAAGGCTGTTGACCTGACTCTGACTCTCGTGAAGGTTAGTAGAGGCTGGGTTATCCGAGCTCTCAACCTGGGTGCACATCTCCGAGATATCCACAGTCTGTCGAGAGATAGGGTCATCATCCCACGAGCCGTCATGAACAACAACACTCCCAGAGTCAGAGATAGAGCCGTTATTGACAGGATATCTCTCAGTCTCATTACTATCGCGATGGCCAGTCCGCGAAGCTTCTTTCTCGGATGGGGTGTCATAGTCGGCGAAGTCAGGCTTCAGCCGGAGCACCCAAGACGGGGGTTTGACAGTGTATTGAGACTGGACATTGAGGATTGGTAAATTGAGGTTCGGGTGACGAGCCCGGAGCTTAATTCAGACGACAGTCAGTACCAAACAGAGGACTCGATGCCTGGTTTATCAGGTTTACCTCCATGGCGATTGTGACAGACACTGGGTCTTCTGGGGAACCACTCCAGTCGCACCACAGATCGAGGTTGCTGAGAGGGCTGTCGTTAGATTCCACGGTGGTCTCCGTGGTAGGGTCTGTAGTAGACTCCATGGTGAGATGAAATGAGATTAGGAAACGAATAAAAGTGATACAAGAGAAGAGAGGAAAGATGAGAGATAGAAAAGAGAAGAGAAGAAAGATGGGAGATGGAAAAGAGAGGGAAAGTTGGAAGGTAGCAAACACAGAAGGTACGTGAAGTTAAGCCATTGCATTTCCACCTCATACATCGTCAAATAAAAAAGATAATAAAAAAAACAAGAAGCAGCACTTGCAATTAGCCAGTGATACTGCTTTTCAAAAAAAAAGTAAAAGGGCCTGTATGTACAAATAAGGGCTCAATAATAGTCTCTCACTTTTCTCCCAATCCCATGAAAGAAAGACCTCCCCCTTTTATCCGCCAGCGCCTGTTAATAAAAAAATTGAAAACCTTTAGCCACCCAGTTAAAGCATCAAGCATAAAAAAAAGAATAATGAAACACTTCTCTCGGTCTAGACAGAAGAAAGAAAGAAAAAAGATAACGTAAAAGCCAGACAAGGACGTCAAGCAAATCATTGGGGCGTTCCATTCGCAGAATCAGGGTGATCAAAGGTTGCTGGGCCGGCCACGGAGCCAAATCGATCGCCTTCGTTGACCATTTGAGATGGAAGAATAGGGGTATTTGCCTGAGGAGTTTGGTCGAAATAGCCTCGCGTAGATCCATTAGTTCCCTGGGGATAGTCGCGATTCCGCTGCAGGGGTGGAAGTATGGTCGAGGTAGGGGGATATCCGGACCGGGTGTATCCCTGAGCTAACATCGCTCCAGTCGAATCCGGGGTCTGTCTCGGGTCCAAAATCCTTAGCTAGGTATTCTATTCCACACTCTCACTGGTTCGCAGAGGGGTGTCGTACAGGGGTTCCAGGTTGGTTCATCGCCATCAATTGTCCCACAGCGGCCTGCTGCTGCTGGCTAGATCGGCTTTGACCGGTAGGATCGGGGATCTGGGACATGGGGGCTGACGCTTGCATACCAGCTGATGCTTGCATTCCCGGGTACATCTATCCAGGTCAGCTCAAGAAGCTCTTAAATCTGGAAAGGGGAAGTGGACACGAACCGCCGTATAATCAGACACCACCTTGTAATCAGGCACCACCTGCCCCGTGGGGTAAGTCTGCATGGCAGGATTTTGGTAAGTTGCTGGCTGACCAGCATACATAGCAGCTGTTGGTTGGCTATATGGATCCATCTGACGGGCCATTCGACCATCCACATCATAGAGGCTCTGCTGTCTGCCATAGTCGATCGAAGTACGATGACGTTTGACCGGCGGCTGCTGACCGTAGTACCCATAATCCCGGGCCGCCGGCGGATAGCCTCCATAGCTCGACGCTGGAGGGATCTGCACAGACTGACGCTCCGGGGATCTAGTAGGAACTGGCTGATGGAACTCGTCTGGTCGTGTCGATCGTTTCCTGCGGGAGTTAGCTACACCCTCGCCTTGACATCCCCCGGTTCATAGCACATACAACATGGTCCGAGGCTCCTTTCGAATGCGCAATTTGACACCTTGATCCGCAAATGATCGAGAAAGGTGGGTTGACTCCATCATTCCGGGGAAACTCTTGGGAGGAGAGACTACAAGCTTGTCAGAACCCAACTATCCCAGCTCTCTCCGTGGCAGATTCTTACCTGTGAAACGCTCTGAGATCACGGTCTTCAAGTAGGAGACACGGTCCCTGTCTCATTGTTAGCTCTTGGAATCCGGACTAGGCTCCCGACCGTGCTACTCACTTGCGCATCTCGAACAAGGTAAACTTCAAGCGAAACTCGCCCTCAATCTTTACCGAGAGATCTCCAAAGACGAAGAACCCTCCATCTGCAAAACCTGTCAGTGAACAAGCTCTGCGACCCCAAGACCAGCTGGAACAAACCGCTGTTGTCCACATCCTTCAACCGGTGAAGGGACGAAACTAGGGTTCCTGCTAACGCAGTTGACGGTGCGACGGGCACAGGACGCTCTTCTGTTGCATCGTACAGACTGCAGCACATGAAATAGTAAGGACTTTGCAGGTAATGCCTGTGCCAAAGTCAGCTCAGCTACCTGCGTGAAACCACATTGGAATGCACACTTACTGTGCGAGGTAGGTACCCTCCTCTCGCACCCGGAGCTGGACGATCGGGGGCGGATCGATAGGTTTGCGCTCTGCAGGCGCCATTAGATCCGGTTCCTTTCCCGTCAGTTCCCTCCCCGCTAGACGGGGGACTAGGAACAAGAGAGAGAAAGCTTTCACATACCTTTTTCTTTGCCCCCCGCCACGCGGGCCCGATTGGGCTGCTGGCGAATGATCAAATCAAAGTCAGAACTGGTGTTGTTCAACATTGTCAGTGGGATTTCCTGGACGACCGCGTAAGAGTTGCGACCCTGTCAAAATAGACACGGGAAGAACAAACTCACCCCTGAGCTTCGCGCGAGAGAGAGGCGTCGGAGAATGTCGCACTCATCAAGACGAGTCACAAACAAACGGGGAAAAGGTGGAGAGAACCAGCCCAGATTTGAGGTTGCTTTGAAAGACTGTGAACCACCCGGTACAAAAGTTCGATCCTCGGGAATACAGAAGACCAGGCAGAAGTGATCTGTGGTTTTACTAGGCAAAGTGGGAAAAAAAGGGAACGGGTCTTTGGACCGAGAGAAATCCAGTGTCAGAGAAGATAAGGACTGGGAAGAGAACCCTGGACGAGTCACGATGTCGTCGAAGAGGGGTGCTGTAGTGGGGTAATGATTTTTTTTTTCCTTCTGGTTCTTCAAAGTTCAACCATGGAAGAGAAGACAAAATGAATGACAATGATTAGAGTGAGTGTGAAAGATGGTCGAAAGTTGACGAAAACGGAGTGGTGTCGTCAGTTTGCAAGCGGAAAGAGCCAACCGAGCACGGTTCCAGACAAAAACTTTAAGCTCTTCTGGTATAACGGCCCCCCCGGTTATAAATGTAGATATTCCGACCGAGAATCTAAAGATTTTATCAATAAATTTGGGGGAAGAAAAAAAAAAAGAGAGATTCAAGAAAAAAAAGAAAATTCAGAAAATCAATTGGATCACAGGCCTCCAAATCTCTCAGTGTTGAACAAATCAGATTCCAGAATCCCACAAAAAAAATATATATAAAAAAAAAATGAACTAACCCAATGAATTATCTTGGATTTTTTTTTCAAAAAAAAAAAAAAAAAAAAAAAAAAAATATCCACAAAAAAAAAATATATAAAAAAAAAATGAAATAAACCAATGAATTATCTTGGATTTTTTTTTCAAAAAAAAAAAAAAAAAAAAAAAGAAATATAAAAAAGAAATGGGAAATCAAAAAGAGATCCTCAAATTATACCACAGTAGCAATCTCTTTCAAACGAGATCAGCTGAGGTGGATCTTTTTTCCAAGTGTGACTTCCTTTAGAAGGCAAAAAAATAACAAAAAGAAAAGAAAAAAAAAGGAGGAGTTAAGCCGTAGACGGAAGGAAAAGTGGAATGAGTTCAGCTACCCACGGTTGGGGGGGCGAATGGCGATCCGGATGCGTAGTAAACTTCTGGTTTGTCTTCTTCTCGTTGGTCCGAAATCGAAACTAACCGCTAGTCTAGTCCGCGTCTGTTTCTTTGTGATAAAAACCCACAGGGTTGGCGCCGGCTATGCAGGTGATCAGACCCGGTTTTCTTGTCGGCCGTAAAGATGTCTAAACGCCAGGTGGACTCGGGCCCTGGTCCGGCGTCTAAGCATTCCAGTCAAAAGTGGAGATATGCACGATCAAGCCGCATCGCCTATGTCCGGGGGTTGCTCTTTGGTCTCCACACTCGATCTGAATCCTGTAATTAGCCGGATTCAAAAAAAATTTTAAAAAAAACGTCAATATAGAAATTCGAAGGAATTTGAGGTGGTTATAGCTGCCGCCTGTCAACCAAAGTTTGTAACTTTTGGTTCCAAGGTTGGGCTCCTTATGTCATCCCGAACCAAAGAATGCCTTCAGGCCCTAGACCTCCCACATTCGCTTGGAGACCTCCCCTCAACAAACAAAAAAAAATCAAGACAATACCTTTATCTTGATGCTCTGGATTCTCTTTGCTGTGATAAATCCAATCTTCCAATATCGCATATAAATTCTTCGATTGTGGGGTTGCGTGTACCACTCGAAAAGGTCAATGTTGAAGCCCCAAGATGAAAGGGCTCAATGCGCGCGCGCGTTCGAAGACCGAGGTCTTGCACAGTCACAGATTGACAAAATGGTCACAGATAATTCTCACAGACACAACTGCGTGCAGTAGCACGTAAATCCCGAGAGCGCTGGTCGAGCACCTTATTCCGATCCTGAACGACGAAGCAACACATGCCGGGTCATGATGCGACAGTGGGAAACGAAAGAGAGGATAGACAGTTTAGTCGAGGAAAAGAGAGGGAAAAATGTCAAGGCACAGGAACGAGACTTGGACAATGCGTTTAAAGGGGGGGGGCACAATGCAACAACACACCACACCCACTCAAGGCTTTCCCCGTGACGCATCACATTGCTTGGGAGATATGCAGGCCCGAGATCCCATGCAAGCTACTGTATGTTGACTGCAGTTGTGGGCCAGCGTCGATGCTGGTTGGTTCCATCGGCCGGAGATCCCTCGAGCTATAGGGCCAGGCAGGCATGCATCAGCCAAAAGAAGAAAAGAACGCATCAATACTCCGTACCGGGGACTGGTTTGGGCCAGTCCTGCAGCTTGCAGATCAGGTGTTCGTGATAAAAAAAAAACCGGTACTTTCTAGTATGGACTACGGGGGCTGCTTTGCGCCACACTCGCTGACCGTCGATTTGCGGCTGAGAATGTACGATACTTCCCCCTTCATTTCCAGTCACTCTCCAGATGGGGTTGACTGCAGTGCACAGGTGGATTCCACACCCTAGGCCATTAGTTTCTGTGTGCCGAAGTACTTGCATCCCACACTCTTTGGGCATGGGGCTTGTCCTCTTCGTTATCAGCTATCGAGAACTTCTTTCTTGGCACTTGGCAAAGGAAATCCCAAATACTAGCTTGCATGCAGATATTCTGGGGTCTGGGTTGGAAATGGTATCACGGTGATGATCATCGCTAGTCAGCATGTGATACGGAGAGTTGCAGGTGCAGTTGGCTATGACAAGCATTCCTGTCACAGTTCACCTGGCCATATGGGACCTATCTCCGCATAATGGGATCTTTGGTAGCAGCGATCATATGCAAGGGCGAGGAGAAAATCCTTTTCGACCAGTGGGCGCCGATCAACCCGACAAAAGTCCCGCCCCCAATATTGAATCATGCAGCCAGAGCGATAGCGCTATTGGCAGCTTTGACATGACTGGAGCAGATGGGACCCGCTGAGGGGGGGTTCGGCGCCAGTACGGAGTACCTAGTTTCTAGAGAACAGCGGCTGCGATCCGCTAAACTAGTAAGTACAAGCTGACAAAAAGGGGGACCAAATAAGGAAGAAGAAAAAGGTGAAGTGAGGGGTGGAAAGTGGAAAAACACACCATAGGGTACAAGGGTTGTCTAATGGTCTGACTAGGTGTGGTTCTTGCATGATGCCAGGACCACAAGTTCCTTGGAATGCAGTTGATAGGCCCGAAAAAAACTCACAGCCCTAGATGCACATCATTATGCGACAAGCAAGCCCCAGCGCTGGGAGCACGACCTGTCACTTCCTTTTTGACTTCCGGGATTCGGCTCCGACGCCAGGTCGGAAATCCCAAGTCTTGATCTTGGGTCATGGCGGGGAAAGCCACCATTTCATTTGCTGGAGAGTCATGATTCGGTTGTGGAAACTACCTAACATGACTCGTCCAGCCGCTGGACAGAATAATTGTGCGAAAGGTGGCTGTGATACTGGTGCTAACTCGTAGGGAAAAGAGAGAAAAGAAGAAAAGAAAGTTCAAGTGCGAAAAGCGAAAAATTAAAAGTGACCGCCAAAAAGGAAGCGAATTTTTCGAATTTTTTTCCCAATTTAAAAGTACAACGCACACCCTGGACAAAATCCACTGCGGCCCCGATTAGAAAAAACGGGGAACTTCTTAGTGTCGATGTTGTTCTCCTGACTACGGAGCACAGTCATAAAATATACCAAAGGAAAGCTTGAAAAAGGGACCCGTGGAGAACAATCCAAAAAAGGCCAAGTAGAACGAACCCCTGTTCGGCATGAAGTGGAAAAGGAGAGCAAAGACATGTATGGAGTAGGGGCGGGATAGAGAAAAAATTTTAAACTGGAATTAAAGGATTCAGTTGCAAAGCCCAAAAAAAATTCAAGGGCGCATACCTATATCTGACAGCGGTATCTCCATTGAGAACCAGTTAGATGTATTGGCGCTACTGTTTTTATGCTTAAAATGCCCTGTGATGGTTCCATGGTGGTTAGGGGCCCGTTCCATGGTTTGTGTCCCCTTGACAGCTGTCCGGTCCGTATTGGCGTCAAGGGTCGCCGATCTTACGTCGATCGATGCTTCGGAGTACGGAGTATATTACATTGGTTTCGTATTCTGATCTATATAATTAAAAAAAAAAAAAAAAGTCCTATTGTAGTTTAGTAATATTACTACTTCGGTATGATGTGTGGGTATCCCGATACAAATTTCACCTTCCTAAATAGGGCCTGAAATATTCCCCTTTCGGATACTTTGTAGACTCACATGTATGATTGTGATATTCATGATTATCGATCAATAAATCTGTATTTTGGGTAGGCTAAGCTCATTGTAGGTATAATGCAAGGATTATACGGAGTATTTCGTACTTCTGTTGGTGCCCCGAGGGCCCCCTGGTGGAACACATCAGATAGCCGCAGATCAGCCACAGCTACAGAGTACGGACCACGGAGTCGATACTCCGTATGGAGTATTCCAGATCGAGTTAAGTACTCCGTACAACAGTTGTATAATGTTACACTTTGCCCCTCGCATATTGAGATTTCTGGGGTTACAATTGGCCATTAGATCTACATAAAAAAATCGTGTATTATTCATTGATCTTCCTTGTCTACTAGTTGTGGCGTTCTTGTCCAACAGGTCTGTCATATTCGACGTTTTCACCATATTCTGCGCGACATGACACTTATTCTTGGATATATTGCATGCAAGACACACATCTACTCTCTATAAATGTACTAGAGCAAAGAACTACCAATACGGAGTAATTGATACATTGACGGGAGACATGCTACTCACACACTGTACTAAAATTCGTCACTAGATAGAAAGAGAAAACGAACACCCAAGCAAAAAACTCCAGACACCCCTTTCCCTGCTCCGTGCTGGATGAAATCCCTGAAAAAGTGACCAGTAGTAAATGGACCACAGAGGATGAGTGCTGCACAACACTTCTATCGCCTCTGAGCACCCATTTAGCATAACGTAGCCTTTGAACAAGAAAAGAAAATGGGTAGAGAATATTAAATCGAAAGCTTGGAGAATGCAGTTCCCGGGACACATGAAAGAAAATAGAAGTGAGAAACGAATCAGAAATTTCGTTAAAACAAACGCCCTGTCCACATGCGTAACTTGCTTTGCAGGCGGAAAAAAAAAAGCCTCCACGAATCATGAGCTGAATTCAACGGTGTCATTTCTGCATCACGACATCCCCATCCACTTCGTACTCAGCATCAAGCTCTACCTCCCCATCTGCGTCTACATCGGCATCTTCGTCGGTGCCATTGGTATTGGTCACGGCTCTTTGGTCCTCGGCTTTGTTTGGTGACTTGATCACAACATGAACTTTCTCAACTAAAGCCTTTCGGTTGACCGATCGCGGTGTCTTGGGGTTATCGCTGGACCGACGGGAGCCCGCTGTTCCAGGTGACCGCGAGATGGAGTTGGTCTTTTTCTCCGGGGTCATGGGTCTTTCCGTGTCCTTGTCCTCGGACAACTCGGGCACAAGCCCAGGCTCAGCAGCATCAATCCCATTAGCCTTGGCAGGTTCCTTGGTAGCGACATCTCCGTTCACATGGCCCGGTTCCTTTTCGCTCCCGTCTGCCGCTTCCTTGGGAACATGAGCCACATTTTCGGCATGCTCAACAACAGCTTGTTCCTCGGCAACTTCGCTTTTCTCCAGTTCACCGTTGGGCTGGCTAGGTGGTGCTTCGGCTGCAGGCGAGTCCGTGAGAATAGAGCTTCTCCCTCGACGAAAGCTGCCTCCAGGGGTGACCATTGCCAGCCCGGAGGGTCGTCGAGGTGTGTTACGACTGTTATTGCGGGGGGCAATTGGTGTCGATGACATGCTATTGAGTTTGGTGCTACCAGATGGGCGACCAGGTCTGCGTTTGGGGGGTCCTGTGGGAGGTACAGGAGGCCAAAGTTCGAACCGGGAAGGTGGGATTCCAGCGGCAGGGTTGGGGATTGCAGTTGGTTCAGAAGTTTCCGCTGTAGGATGGTGGGAGCCACGAGACCGCAGAGACAATGTGGAAGGCGGTCCAGCTGAATCTGCGAGGGCGTTTCCATTCGACCCATTCACCATTCGAACATTGCCCTCATAATTGATCGCTCTTGCCTCGGTCTCATCTTCGTCTTCATCCTGATCCTCTCGCTGGGCGACAGCATGCATGGGAGCACGATCGAAATGAGACTGGTTGCTACGACCCATAATGTAAGGTGTCCAGAGCAGCGCATCTGGATTGAGTTGAACGTAGCCCTTGCTTTCCCAGCCACTAATAACTTCGTCGTAATATTTACGATCGAGACGGATCGCATACGTCTTAGTGATGGGATCCCGCACGAGAGCTCGTAGCCCTTCGAGGGCAGATACAATGTCATCCGCCGTCATTCCGGTACGATCAGACAGATCTGCAATGCTGACAGGCGTTTTCAAATCACGAAGTTGGTATGACAAAATCAATCGCCAGTAGTTCCGGTACGACACCAGACCCATGTCGGAGAGTGGCTTCTCGGGCGATCCGTTTTTGCCTTCAATACGGGTAAGGAGGTATGAGAAGTCGATGAGGAGGTTTCCATAGCCTTTGCGTTGATGGATAGGTAGAGTGAGAATGCAGGAAACGTTGTTCGCTGAGCTTGGACGTTTTTCTTTACTGAAGTAGCCAACAAAATGGCAGCCCAGGTCGTCACACTCAGTCATGACATAGAATAAGAATGGCTCAACGTCGTAGTAAAGAGTCTTGGAGCCTAGGAAAAGTTTTGCGAGAAGGCAAAGATTTTGACAGTACACTGGATTCTTGCGCCCATCAACTTCGAAGATTGAGATCGACCGATCTCGATAGATCTCGTCACCTGGCGGATGTTTCGCAGGGCACTTAAGCTTATGGCGCCAGGCGACGAAGTCCGAGTTCATGTACTTAAGACAGAACTCGCAAATGTACAGAACACGGTTGCGGCTGTATTCCTCCGGGTAAGGCGCTGCATACCATGTTTCGATCTCGTAGCCTCCGAAGTTGATGGATTTGATCTTCGAGGGAGGACCAGAAACCTTTTGTGATGCATGTGAAGTGGCTTCACCATTAAGTTCTGCCTCCTTCACTTTCTGTTGCCATTCGTCCTCAGCTTTCAGACGTGCCTGTTCGAATCGGTCACGGTCGAATTGTGTGGGGAGTGTCCTGGATGTATCTTGCTCGATTTCGGACAGAATGCCTCCATACGGTTTTGATTTGGCGTCATCTGTCTCACGGTCGAACAGAGTCATGGAGTTGTAGGATATGGGAGGTAGAGGAACGAAATGTGCCTGTGGTTCTTGGGCCACAGGTGGCGGCTTGGGTGCTTTCTTCTTCTTGCGTTGCGGTCGGATTTGAGAGCCTGTTATTTTAGCCATTTTTGCCTCGTCCAGCCGGAACCCAAGAATCAATTTCCCAAACTGCCTAGTAACCACGCGGCAGAGCTCTCGGTCCACTGCACGTGTGCGCCGCACGCGTACAGAACGTGTTCGAGCAGGAGAGTGGACATCACCATCAGCGATGCCATCCACACTATCCAAGGCCGTGTCATTCAAACTTGGGAGATCAGAGCGGAAAGATGTTTGTCGGAGTCTTTTGCGAAGCACAGGTGTGTGTTCTTCGGCTTCGGTTGACGAGGCCTTTCGCTTGCGTAGCGATCGCGAACTGTTGAGCATCTCGTTGTTGACGCCGGTGTCAAAGATAGAATGAAATCCCTCGTCGTGTGTTCCGGCGTGCGCAGGTAGAAGCTCTTTGGGGAGGGCTGAGGCTCCGAGTCCTGCTTCCGTCGCTAAATCTGGTATTGGGTCGGGCTCTAGATTGTTTTGAACACAGCCGGGGCATCTCCATGGGTGGTCTGGGTGTTGCAATGTTAGTGGGTGGAATACGTCAAGGAGGTGATGAGACAGAAATGAATGATCGCGGGGTTGCGTACCTTCCGTATCGTCATATGCTCCTTGTTCGCGAGCGCACTGGCAATGAGCTATTGGAATGTCGAGTTAGCGATCGTCTCTGGGTAAAGGTAAAGGCCCAAGCTCTTTCTGCTCGGCACCCACCAAACGGAGCAAAACGTACAGTGATCACCACAAACAATACAAGTGAGCCATTCCTCAAAATCCTCACTTGGATCGTGTTCCTCGTCTTGACTGCAAAACCTATTGGTCCGTTAGTACTTGGACCATAGTTCTGCACACTGTCCTCCATAGAGCCCTTCTACTTACACGCAGTTTGCGCCACTACGGATATCAGTTTCGATATCCTCACGGCCATTGCTCTCAGCCTCCCAGTCTTCAGCTTCTGACTCGTGATCACTTGATTCGGGTTCCGAGGCGTCACGGTCATTTGCTTCAAACCCGGGATCGGCATCCGCATCCGCTGTCTCAGACTCCGCATAGTCTTCTTCGGAGCCCGCGTCGTCGTCGCGTAGCTTAACAGCTCCAACAGGCTCGGCCTCATCATTATCGTCTTCGTCTTCGCCGTTCGACCTATTGATACTTGAGTTGTTTCCATCTGCAGCTTCCTCCGGGCCATCCTCATCGACTTCTCCAGTGTATGCTCTGTGAACGGCATCCTGAAGTCGTTGATCCATTTCATACAAGTCGGTTTCTTCTTCGCCCTCGGCATCTAAGTCGCTGTCGGTCGGGTCCACAGGCGGGTCGAGTTTGCCCGGTTCATCATTTGCTGGCGGCACCGTCGCCGCCATAGTGAAAGTTACCGCCACCGCCAGGTTGAGCACAGCAGTGCCTATTGTATGCGCTCAGGCGAACTAAGGTATCTTTTTTGTGAAAGAAGCTTGAACCGATCCGGTTACAGAAGCACCCCGCTGACGTCGGCGCTGATCCGGGGGTGCATCGGGATAAAAAGCGGGTTCGAGGCTGGTTGAAGTGATATCGAAGATTTTTAGGAACAGAAGTACCGTTCGGGATTGACACTCAAAGTCTCTAGGCGCAAAGTGGAAGCTAAACAAACAAGAGGTGTCAGTTCGCCGCTGGAGTGGCTAGCCATCGCAAGCGCGTCGCAATACAGAAACTCACCCCAAGAGAAACCAGTGCAATCTTTGATTCAAAAGCGTACCAGACGCGTCGAAGGACAGTCCATACACCGAGGCCTGTCTCTTTTACAATCGAATGCGATCCGCAACGGCCTTCACGCCCCTTGTCCTGTGAGTGTCGTTGCAGCGCGCTGAGTCAGCGCAAGCTAAACCACTTTGGGTGGAGGAGACCTCAAGCCCGTCGCTGTAGGAAGAGACACTCCCCTCCATACTCTCCGCGATCTATCCACTCTCCTCAGTCCGTGAGAGGCTTTACGGCTTTTAATTCTACTCTAACACCTTTTTCCGATCATCTACATACTCATATAACCGCACACAATGGGTGTTCCCTTTGAGGCCCTGCTTCCCTATGGGATTATCATGGGAGTACGTACCATTGGTCAATGCCTTGCGGGCTATAGCTCACCAATTGCTACAGATGTTTGGTGTGACTGGCTACGGTCTTCACTATGTCAAGCGCTTTGCCAACGATGGCAAGAAGGCGCGCTGGAACCGGGACCTGTGGGATAGAGTAAGTTGATTCCATGTCGGCTGCGGTCGGAACTTGCATAAGACACATTGGCTAACAAATTCACAGCAAAGTGAGTGACTACCAGTTTATCGGCCGACCCGAAAGCGCCTGTGAAGAATTATACGAGACTAACCGCAACCAACAATAGTGATGGAGAGAGATCAGCGCATCACAGGCTCATTCCGCGGGCAGTCCAGCAACCACCAAGCGCCCACCGGATTCGAAGTCAGCAACCCATGGAAGGTACGGACGACAGCTTATATCCTTGAATTATCTCCACGCAGAGATGCTGACCCGATACATAGATCGAGAGTCGGATCTACTAGTTTCAAAAATTGCAGCCTCTTTTCCTTTACGTTCAATGTCTGCGCCTTTCTTACACCGTGATCATACATATCTACTGCAATTTCTCTAGAAATGTTCAATGTTGTACCATAACCTCTATTCTCTTGGGTTTCTCTAGTAGTCCTCTCAGTCATCTTCTACTTGAGCTCCGAGGTCATTCCCCGAATCCCTTGGATCTCATCCACACGAAGGTGCATATCGAAATGCTTTGCCAGGGCTTTAACGCGGTCCTCTTCAGTCTCCAGCACCTGCAATATCTCCGTCTGCCCGCGCAATCTCTTCTTGACTTCTTTGCCTGACATAATGCACTGGCCAATGATGTCTGTGCCACTTTCGTCCAAAATCATTCGCATGCAGACAAAAACCTGAGTGAACCAACTAGCTCGGCTCTGGCTGACGGAGAAGTTCATGACACCAAAATCCTGCGGTAGGAACTCGACGTCGGAAAAGCAGATCATTGGCAACCACTCACTCTCGGAATTGTATCTTGTTTGATAGATCCAGATCTTTTGGCTTTGGTCCGTGAACTCGGGAATGCTTTCTCTGACAATTCGCATCTCAGATGGCGCGATAGCCGTGGCAGTAGCACCTTCTTGAAGTAATAGTGGAGCAGTAGCACAATTGTTTCCAAAGCCGACATCAACCTGCCCATACCCATTAGTATGGTTCATACGGTAGTTGCAGTAGGTTTTTATGATGTACCATATACTTCTGACCTCTGATAATCACGATCAAAATCATATGTCCACTTCGCCGGATCAATGGTGTCAGCTCGGCCAGAAAGCTGGGAATGCTAGAGTATTGAAGAACTTACAATGGCAAATACAACCCATTATCCAATCCCCTTGCTGCAGCATGACTGACTCTACCTCCAGTGGCATAAACAGGATACCCCAGAGACCGCAAGACAATAAAGAAGACACCAGTGTTCTCCATGCAGTACCCATCTAGCCGCCGCTCCACCATTTTCTCAAAGAGACTCTCCGGGTTCAGCGAGATAGTATGATGTTGCGAGTAGTGCAGCCCTGAGTTGCCCCACGGAATGGCAGCGAGATGCCGCCTTTGCAAATTACACAGTGCAGAAAGCGCATCATTCTCGATATCCTGGCGGAGACGCTGAAGAAGATTGCCATCGGGTTGAGCAGAGTTGGAGTACCCGATGCGCTTCAAGTATAACTCCAGTTGTTCATCGGTATATGTTGGTTTTGGTGTCATTGTGTTGTTTGGACTATAGGAATTTTCTATAGCGTCTATTAAGATTAACGGAATTATTCCACTCGTCATTTTTGATGACCAATACTTGGCTCCCCCAGGGCCACACTTTCCCCCGGCAGTTTATAGCGGCTATAGCGACTATATAAATGAACTATATTAGGGACATACACGATTCATCTACAGCCTATTAAAATGAATCCTGATTGTAGTACTGCATATGTACTAATAGACAATGACTTTGTTTTTTTTAAGGTATATATTGTCCCGGCTTACCCCACATTCCATTCGTATTTATCTATCACCTCGGCTACGACAGCCCTTTATACAGAGCAGATTTATCCAGTATCTATCAATTTTATACACAAGTTGTAGAAAATATAGAATTTTCTTATAGTGTTATAATATCTCAAAACTAAGCAATAATTCTCTGAAACGACCCTTTAAACCCCTTGAGTCATAGATCTCCGGTGATGTAGGTAGTCCACATTCATCCGAAAATCGGGCCTACGGACATGTGCTTTGACTGATCAGCCAATGGACCTTTTGGCTCATCAAATTCATTTATTGCATGTCTACAACATAAACTCTGCTTTACACTGCAACTATACAAATTCAGCAGCACATTGCCCCTCACCGTAAACCCCCACATCTAAACACAATGGATGCGCTAGACAGACAACTCGCAGAATTAATAAACTACTCGCCCTGCGATGTACGGCAGTCTTGGCTTTCCACACCGAATGAACAGTACCTCTAACATTTCAATCTCCCAGGTATCAGACGCCCTCATCAAACTGCAAAAGACGCCCGAGGGTAGCACAGCAAGAGCAGGCTACCTTGCAGATCTAGGTAAGCCATACAAGACCAGCCCAAGCCTCTATCTCCAGTTCCAATAATCGAACTCACATCCACCAGTCCCATTCTCTCCCATAGCGGGGCGAAATGAAACAATGACCAAGATTGCCGGTCCGGCAACAACAATCAAATTTCTAGCCAAAGATGACAGCCCGCCATCAATCGCAATAGAAGAACCCGAAAAGCACGGCTTCTTGCCGGGTAAGCACTGGGTAGACCACGTCGGTGAATATCCACCAAACCCTTATAAGGCTGGATCCATCCTCGTTATTGAACAGCCTGCGGACCAGTACTGTGCAGTGACCGGTGGGATCATGGCGACCCGGATGAAAGCCGTTGGCATCAAAGGTACAGTTGTGGGTGGTCGTGTCAGGGACTTGAGGGAATTGCAGGCTACTGGACTTCCGGTTAGTGATCTCTCGTGGTTTTGTCGTTGGCGTTACTGATTGCTTTCGTGGTAGATCTGGGCTCGTGCTACTTCGACTGTTGGCACCAATGCAGAGGCTAAGGCTGGTGCTCGTGATGTGCCAATTTCGATTGAGGGTGTTACTGTTTCGCCTGTGAGTTCTAGTTCCTATGATGTTCGATTACTTCATGATGGAGTTTAGGTCTAATCATTACAATGAATCATAGGGCGACATCATTTTCTGTGATCCGTTGGAAGGAGTAGTAGCAATTCCTCGCGAACTACTCGGCAAGGTGCTGGAGCTCATGCCTAAACTGACTAGAATGGATGACGATGCCAAACGGGCTGTTGCGGGGGGAATGAGTGTCACTGATGCTTTTAAGGCATACCGCCACTAGCCTACTTCCAGCTGAATGTATATAGTGCATACGACGAGATTACATAGTGGGCGAACTGGAAAGGCCCGCTTCAAGTACATATTTCAGAGAGACCCAAAGGAAACCTACAACAATATTGGTATCAAACGTAGAGCATATATATGTAGCTCCAATATTTTGGTATTCGAAGTATTCAATACATGACGAGAAATGTGTGTATCCAAAATAGAAAAAAGGGCCTAAAAAGCCAAATCGCTGTGCAAATGTACAATCGAAACATAAGCTTCGTTTACTCCGCCACCCAGACAGCGGCCATACCCATACCGGTACCGATACACATGCTAGTGACACCGATCTTCTTGTTTGTGCGCTTGAGCTCAGTGAACAGTGTGCTGACCTGGCGAGCACCAGTGCAGCCAAGAGGGTGACCGAAAGCAATAGCACCACCCTTGGGGTTAATCTTCTCAGCAGGGATGCCGAGCTCGTTAACACACCAGACACACTGGGAAGCGAAGGCCTCGTTGATCTCATAGATGTCGACGTCATCCTTGGTGATGCCGGCCTTCTCCAGGGCAACGGGGATGGCCTTCCAGGGGCCAACACCCATGAGGAGGGGCTTGACACCAACGACACTGGCAGCGACGTACTTGCCAAGGATCTTCTGGCCCAGACGCTCGGCGGTGGACCGCTTCATGAGGAGGACGGCGGCAGCGCCGTCGGAGATCTGGGAGGCGTTACCGGCGTGGATGGAGCCGTCCTTGGCAAAGGCGGGCTTGATCTTGCCGAGGGACTCAGCGGTGATACCTGCGCGGATGCCGTCATCGGCCTTCACGGTGATGGTCTTCTCCTCGCCGGTCTTGGGGTCAGTCCACTTGACGTCCAGGGGGGCGATCTCCTCGTTGAAGAGACCGGCCTTCTGGGCCACGACGGCCTTCTGGTATGAGTTGGCGGCGAAGGAGTCTTGGGAAGCGCGGGTCACGCCACGGTCCTTGGCCATGTTCTCGGACAGGACACCCATGGGGACCTTGCAGTTTGCGGCCTCGGGGTGGCTCTCAAGGAGGTCGGAGAACTCGGTCACGGCACCAGGTCTGTATCAAATTGTTAGCCATATTATCGGACTAGGAAGTTCAGGGGCTTGAAACATACCCGTACTGAGAGGACATGCTCTCAACACCAGCACCGATACCGACTTCGATCATGCCAGAGCGAATAGCGTTGGCAATATCGGCGATAGCCTGGAGACCGCTAGAGCACTGACGGTTCAAACTGCGCACAGCGGTGCTCTCTGGGAAGCCAGCCACAAGAGCGGCGGCACGGAACTCAGTCGCACCACCACCGGGCGCAAGGACATTGCCGACGGCAATGTCTTCGACGGCACTGGGGTCAACACCGCTCTTGTTCAGGACAGCCTTGAAGACACCGGCAAGCAGATCAGCGCCAGCGGTATCCTTGAAGCCACCCTTGCCGCCCTTTGTGAGGGCAGTGCGCAGGGCACATGTCACGACAATGTCATCGGCGTGCTTCTCGAGGAGGGCGGCGGCTCCCTTCTTACCGCCGGAGCCGAAGTGGGAGGAAACCTGGTTGAGACGTTGCTGGGCTATATATTTAAATCAGTTTGTTGGTCCTTATTCCGGTTATAACTTGCAACCGCCAGAAGCCAAGTATTCTGCAGAATACATGGCCATCGGCTATCACATGAACAGCACATACCGTTAGACATGACGTCAATGTGTGATAGAGGTATAGGAGAAGTATGGGGATGAAAAATAGGGCAAAAGTGAGAATAAGAAAGGAGTCCAGATATCCGGGGATCAGTTGGTTTATAAATCAGAGCCGCGGAATCGGTGGTATTTCCCCTTTGGATGGCCGTTACTGGCCGTCGCATTCTATGAAAGTACCGAGGTCCATTTGGACGCATCATCGTTGGTCCGGGGCAGTCACGGGATCTCCGAGTGGATCAAAGGGGGACATGTGAAATCGAGGGAAGTGCATATATCACATGCACATGTTGATTGCCGGACTCACGTTTTGCGACGGCATATATCAGCTCGGCATAATTCCAAATTTCCGGTGTCTTCATATGAACTTAACTATTTACTCTAGAGCCTACCTCAAATATTAATTATTGATATGTCTCCACGAAGAAGGAACCTTGGAACGGCTGAATCTCCTAGGTTTTGTCCTTCCTTTTAGATCATGAGTGTAAATATGGCCGCTCTAACATATAATCCCCCCTGATAGCTCAGCTGGAAGAGCGCAAGACTGTAATTGTCCTGTTCTGAATAGAACCTGTCATCTTGAGGTCCCTGGTTCGATCCCGGGTCAGGGGATTATTTTTTATTTTTTCCATAAATTTTGGTGAAACAACGTAGACTTACTTTGTGGTGGTCATCCACCAGTCCTCTCTCTCGAACCACAAACTACTTCGATCCAACATAATGGCCGCAAATTCCGATACGGTCGCGGATATCAATCTCTTATCTGAATTTCTTAGCAACAATCAACTACAAAATCTCTCCACTGCATCCCCAGTCGACTGCATCGTCATATGCGCCTCAGCCGTTCTCCACAGTGCCGAGGTCCTCTTCAAGACTCTCCAACAAAGACCAAATCTGACCAGGGCTCTAGTACTGTGCGGCGGTATCGGCCACTCAACCGAGCTCCTTTATGATGCAGTAAAATCTCATCCAGTCTTTTCGCAAATCGCCAATGAGATCCAAGGTCTCTCTGAAGCCAAAGTTCTCGAACGAATTCTAGATGAGTTCTTTGACCGATCTCTCATCACCAAGGCAGGATGTCAGATCCTCCTTGAACCCAAGTCTACAAATTGCGGCCAAAATGCTTCATTCTCTCGCAAGGTTCTCGATGAAGCGGGCTTCCAGGCACCAGCCACGTGCATTATCATTCAGGACCCCACGATGATGCTCAGGACTAGGGCATCGTTTGAGAAGGCTTATGAGGACATCGAATCCCCGGTCTCGGTTATTAGTTGTCCGGTATTTGTACCGCAGGTGCAATTGTCCCGTAACAACGTCATTGAGTATTCAGACATATCGCCGCCGTCAGAGTTGTGGTCACAAAGTCGGTTTCTGGATCTGATCATGGGCGAGATACCGAGGTTGAGAGATGATAAAGATGGTTATGGTCCTCAGGGGCGTGGATTCATTGCTCATGTGGATGTTCCAAGCCACATTGAGGCAGCTTGGTCTCGACTACAATTAATAGCCAAGAGCTCTAGATAGGAAGGAATATGAAGATATGAATTTGAACAGGAAAAAAGAAACTGGACTACACACAACCAAACAACATGTTGTAGTGAAATGGATATCTTGAAGTGATATGGGGGCATATAGATCGATCGATCAGAGAAGGAGGCATATGAAACAACAGAACACCCAAGAAGTCTCGGTCGCAGGTAGGGAAATTTCATAAACTGAGCATTAAATGTATTATTGTACATATTGTATGCACTGGAAGTTTACTTGACTGCGATAGTATAGGAACCGAGGCATCCGTGCATGCACCTGCAAAAGCGGCGGCACATACCAACCTCACTCAATATACAACAAAGGAGTACGTACATACAGAGTGAGCTTCCGAGTTGTTTCAATGCTCTTTTCAAAAAAAATAAATAAATAAATAAACCCACAGAGATTTGGAAAAATATAAAAAAATGATCCCCTGACCCGGGATCGAACCAGGGACCTCAAGATGACAGGTTCTATTCAGAACAGGACAATTACAGTCTTGCGCTCTTCCAGCTGAGCTATCAGGGGATTTGATTGGTTGGTCAACACATTAATGCATTATGAAGTAGATACCAGCAGACCTAACTGATACCTGAGCCAAGTGCACTAGACCTAATTCGTCAAGTATAACAGTATAGACTCGTTACTTGGCCGGCATGGGCGTTTCCATATAGTCCGGCAAAATACCATCTAACGCAGCTTGGTTTGAAGCGCCAATGTGCGCGAGTGTCACCATTATTGCTGTGTTTAGCCACCCATCAACCAAAAACCATCAAGATGTCGTCGGGAAATCTAGCTTGGAGAGCGCCCGTTTTGTGAGCAAACTAGGTACACCATATGGAAACATCTACGTCCACATAGCTACCATCCGAACACTGCAGCCCGGCCGTTGAGTGTGCAACAGGCTCAGCATTGGCCTCGATACCAGCCTTCCCTTCTTCGGGCAGCTGAGTACCTCCCGGGTTGACGTGGTGTCCACCAGTATATTTGATCAGGTTCTGTATCAAGATACATCTTGAGTTCTTGCTATTCAGGGCGAGAATCCAGCTGCTGCCAGGGCTTTGTAGCGGTCTGTTTTCTGTGATGTATGGCAGGTTTGATGATACTGGAGGCCGCATTTGCAGGGCCAACTATCATGACTGACTACAGTGTAAAGGATGCGGTTAATTTCGATTCAACCACTTCAGTTTTTCTTAGCGAGGGATTTCACCCACCTTTGCTCCTTTCCCTTTCAGTTGCTCGCATCCTTCCCTTGCTCTAGACAGATATAGACACATTTGTATAGCTAGTTATCTTCTATCGGTGTCATTTTTTGGGACCGGGTGACTGTGGCCTTGATAATGTGTTTAGATTGTCTCGCCTTGACCAGCAGAAGCCTGGAACTTGAACATCCACCTCTTGGTTGATGGATCATACTCTGTCTATTGGGTCGACGCCGAGACGACGATGTTGAGATTGAAAGCCTTGATATATCGTCATACCTAGGAAGCCAATTCGTCTTTCGAGAGACGGTGAGAAGTTAGAAACGTCTTGTCATAGTCTAATTTCCATATAAAGGCATGCTTACTCGCATCCTAATGTAGGAATAACTTACTTATATAGGTCAAGTGGCAAAATGAACTAGAGATGTGGAGACACAAGAAGTCTTAGCGGAGAGAGAGTGCAGTTGTCCCCCGTCTAGGTATTACACTCGGCTATGATCCTCTTAGCCCGTACGGTTTTAAGGCCTACGGCAAAGGCTAGTTGGTTAGCTATCATTTTGATAACTTCGGTTTGCTTGTAGTACAACGACTTTATGTTCCTTGTCAGAAGACTTGACGGGCTTCCCTAATTGACGCCACCGATGTGGCCGGGAACAATGTTCCTATACAAACTAGACATTCATGGATATTACCCGACTATTATCTCCTCCGGAACCTACATAGTGGATTAGTGCGGCGACGGCCTGTGTCCCTCGGTGGAACACAGAAGGGCTTAGGTGCCACAGTATGTATTCCCCGGAGCTTTGATACTCGTTTGATGCCTCCAATATCATCCCTTTGGGTGGCGAATCATTTTCAAAAAAAAATATATGCCATGTTACTTTGCCGGTAGTTGGTAGGTTCTGATCTACACAAGAAACATACCCCCGTGAGTTGAAACATCGAATACAGGACCATCCCTAATGGGGAACCACTGTCATTATTTTAGTATAAACTTCAGGTAATCGGCAGTGATATGGATATGTATGTATTGATGTTTCTACTATCTGGTCTTTGGCATTAGGGCTAAAGCAACCCCTGTCCAGAGCTTTATGGACAGTATAACATGAACATGTATACATTATCTCTGGCATTCAACTATACATTTTTAGAATCCTTCCGGGTAGAAAAGAAAAGCAAAAGGTCTTGGAGCTATGCCCTAAATTCCAATCCATTAGGGAAACAGGATTTCATGAGTATTGATCACTGAAAACTTTAGACAGGCGCGTGTGGGGGATGATCATTTGCCGGAGGCTGATGGATGATTGTCTATCAATCGTTCAAGCCTGTTCCTCGCTTATTGGGATCTGTTGGCCTGGTTTTCTGGGCCTATGCTCTTTTTCGGCTAAGTACATATGCCTACCGTGCCTACTAGCCGAATCTTACACACAAAAGTTTTCGATTTATGCTTGTGGTCTTCTAGTCTATTCTGTCGAGTATGCTGCTTGTTGCCTTTTCTTGTTTCTGGAATTCTGCCTTTCTGGTTCGTGGGTTGTATGAATATATATCCTGCACGGGTTGTGGATCTACACCTAAATGTTCCCAACAACCCAGGGTTACACTTCGATGATATACTTACTGGGATTGTACGAACAAGAGGAGCAAAAAGGTATAAGTCAGAGGAGACCCCTTGGAAACGGAGTCGTAATAGGCGAATAACATATAGCCAAAGACATTAGGATGTTGTGATACGATTCTGGTCTCCAGGGGTTAAGGACCGTATAGTATCCTGGCTAGGCTGTGCTATTGAACAGTTGAAAGTGATATCGCTATGGACTATTGTTGCGGGCGTTAAACACTCAGTTCCACTTCTAATACAGGCAATCTCGAAGGTGGTGGCGTACTTTTCGGTGGCAAAAATCAGCCCATGAGACTGTGAGACCGCCGCCAATGCCACCGTCGGTTTTATTGCTATATGCGAAATAGCTGGTGGCCGATGTGCTAAGCTAAGCAGCCGCGACTAGGGCTGATATAGTAGAGGAACCAAGGCAAGCGCAATTATATATATTCAAGCTACCTAAAAGTGCCAGAGTTGTTAGACAGAAGAAGTGAAGCCAGAAAGCAAAGCATAGAGGAGCTACCCCAGTCCATGTGGCGCCATGGCGTATACTAGCGTTTGTGTACTATATACTATTAACCTCGACCTTTGCTGTGCTTATCAGAGAGAGATCAGGGGGAAATGAAGGTAAAGAAAGAGCTGTATACATACTTAGTTCTAAAATAGCACAGATCTCTTTATCACGGATATATATATGCGTGCACATAGGCTACAATGAAAAGATACGTACAACATATATACAATACAGTTCTCTTCTACTGAGATTTTGTCTGCAATTACTCGAACGAAAAGAACCACCCCACTCACGTATATAAATAATATTGGGCTACTTACCCCGTGCTTCCATATGTTGTTACGCTATCTCTACAGGTAGTTGAGATGGGATAAAAAAATAAAAAAATAATCCCCTGACCCGGGATCGAACCAGGGACCTCAAGATGACAGGTTCTTTTCAGAACAGGACAATTACAGTCTTGCGCTCTTCCAGCTGAGCTATCAGGGGGGATTATATATTAAAGCCGCCATATTTAGCATTATAACCCAAATTTATGGCCTCCCCGGTAATTCACTATCCATATTCCCAAGGACCACCAGCCAATTTACGAATCTACTCCAACCTCACCTCGCAAACAACCCGAGCAGATACACACCCATGCTCCGACGCGCCTTAACCGCCGCCTCATCAGCGCGCGCATCACCCTCAAACACAGTGGCAAGCGCCTCCAGCAAGCTACCACTCACTCGCCCATCATGGCACCATGTACGCACCTCGCAAACTGGAGCCTTAAACGCTCCTGGATCGAATCTTAGCCAAAAATCAAAGCGAAACTAACAACAAAATACAGAGCCCTAGCACCACCCGCCTCTTCACCACCACCCAGTTCACAGCCTTCACAGCATCACCACCAGCAAAAGACCCCTCACCGTTCCGTCTCTCCGCAAACAAATCCGACAACTCCCCTCCGCCCTCCTTCGAAGATGTCTATTACAGCCCGTACCAGCCAAAACGCCAATGGCCACCGGATATGTCCAAGTTGTCTCCGAAGCACCAGTTCCGGCTTGAGCGCAAATACCGTCGTCGCGCGGCGCTGAAGTATGCGCGGCCGACGTTTATGAAGGCTACTATGATTGGCCAGTGGGCTATTATCGGATGTGAGTTTTTCTTGAGATTGGGGGTTTTGGTTGAAGATTGGGAATGGGGAATTGCGTATAAGCCGCAGTGGATAATGTGGAAGGATTTAGAGACAGGACGCTGACTTTTATGCTACGTAGTTGTCATTATCTATGCCGTGCTATTCATGGAGTGGGAGTCAGAAAATACTCCGTTCCATGCGGTAAGTGCTCTCTCTGCCTTGGCTATGCTGATTTGTATCTTGACTGACATTCGCCTTATAGATTCGGGAGAGCTTCTTCTCTGGTCTCCGGGCTGTGTTCTCCAGCGCACCGCCTCCTGGTCCGAGAAGGGACCAGAAGGATAATACAGCGTCCGATGAGAGCTCGTAGTCGAGTGATATCGATTTGTATCTGGCAACATTGTACAATAGCCAACTAGATTCCCTACCTGCATCTATAACTGATCCTGTACGGGGTCGAAAAAGAAAACAAAATAAGTAAAATAGCGACGATTCATTCAATTCTCATATCTGTTCATAGGTCATTTGTCATGAAGAAATCCTGTCGGAAGAACAGGCGTCGCTGTACCATGGAGAGAAGGAGAAAGAGATAGGAAAATCAACAGTCTCTTTTCCTTCCTGCTCCGTCGCCTGTGCCAATATTTGGCATCGTTACATCATGTCCGCAGGACTTCTCTGGACAAGGAAATGCAGTCAACATGCCAATAACACCAAGAATGCCAACTCCTGTCGGAAATAACAGACCATCAATAAACTCCAAACGTCAAGTAAACAAAAAATACCAACAAGATAAGTTGGGATGGGGCTGCTTGAGGACCAGCCCTAACGCCGAGTCATGATAATGTGGAACGCAAACGAAAGATAGGAAATAAAGACAAGAGAGGAATGGGAAATTCGTTAAATGGAACCGGGGGTTATTGCACCCGGTTCTTAGAGCCAGCTGCGCAGCTCGCTTGATGGGGTGGTCGGACCAGCAGCTGAACGGTTGTCCGAGAAGTCCAGAGCAAGCTCCAGCCTGGGCGGCCGTTCATCGACCAGGCCCTTTCTAGGACTTCCCGGTGCGGACTTCTTGAGAGATTTGGTGGGCGAGCCTGGCTCGCCTGCCCTGGGTGGACCTTCGCGCACAAAGGTATAAGGCCAGCCATCGTCGACTGCTGCTGCGACCCAGGTTCGAAGGCAATCATGCACAGAAGAATAGAACTTCTCCTTGCAAGTACGCAAACTGCCACCCATGACCTTTTCAAATCCAGAGGCACGGAGCTCATCACGAAGTTGGTTTCGCTCATCAGGGGTGGGGAGGAAGGCAATCAGGCCGTTGACAAGATCGAGATGTGCCGCAAGATAGTTGGTCGCATCCCATTCAACACCTCCGACGTATGGGGCAGCCGGAACAGGAGGCCGAGGAACTGGGAAGTGGCGCTCGCTGTAAGGACGGGTGTCCACTGGCGTCTTTTCGCCGAAAAGGTCCTCTGACTTGGGGAGGGGAATCACATTTAGGTGATGAAGGAAAATCCAGAAGACCTCCTTGGTTACGTTGGTGATCTCCTTACACCACACTCTATAGGGTCGTGACTGGTAAATATTGGCAATGAATGATAGCGGCTGATTGTCCACTGGCGGAGCAGGGTCCCTCAGGTAAGAAAGGATCTTTTTGGCGCGCTTGGTCGCCGGTTCACCGGCAGGAGCAGTGGAAAGCTGCGTAAATAGCAGGTTTGCAATAATCCCTCGAGTGGTGAACTCGCTGGGACCCTTCTTTTCCTCGTCAAAGAGCATATGCAACAGAGCGGGGAAAAGCTCGTCCTCGATGGCACTGAGGTGTGCCAGGGCCGCAGATGTAGTGCAGAGAGCCTTCAGACAGAGCAATGCCTCATGTAAAAGGGTGTCCTCGTGATCCTCACTGCAAAACGGGTTAGCCACGGGTCTGAAAATAGGGGAGCAAGATACATACCGCCAAGTCATCTTCATAATGCGGTAGAGGAGCTGTACAATCTCATCCATTCCCCCTTCAGTGATAAAGTCATTGACCCATTGCACGGTTTCGTTACGCAGGAGAAGACGCAATTTGTGCATCTTTCCAACCTCAACCATCTCCGGCTTTTGGATCTCTCTTAGGTAATGCACAAAGTCGGAAGGATCCGCCGCGGTATCGACAGCGGCTGCATCAGCAAGTGTTGCTGTTGAAGCATTGGCCGAGAGAGTGGTGTAGACACCAACAGGCTGAGAAAGGTCTACAGACCTTGGACGACGGCTTGATGCTTCACTATCTCGCCGCAGCTTTTTGCCAGGCGATGAGGGGCCTTTAGTGAATGTAAACCCGCGGCTCCTGGATCGTGACCGAGAACCTTTCCGATCCTGGGTCTGGGAGTCTTCCTTGGATTCTTTGCCACGTCCCCGACGACTATCGCCCGTCCCCGCGCTGAGAGGAGTCATGTTCTCCGTCCGATCTTTTTGGATAAAATCGGCCTTGATATTGGTATCAAGTGAGCGCATCTTGTCTCTCATGTTATGAGGAATATTCCTTGCATCCTAGAGATAGGTCAGCCTTGCAAATTGTATGTAGTACGGCCGACAAACCAGCAGCTTCTCGAACTCGCTTTCGAGATCCTTGGAGTTCAGATGCTGATGCACTTCAGCATCTCGCTCCTTCGCATTGAATACCGAGATAGCAGCCTGTACACGGGAAAGCCGCTTGGGCTCTTCTTTCGCCAAGGTAGGGGGGGAAGTTTTTCGTGGACTCGGTGGTCCTCTGCTCTTGGAAGAAGCACTATCAGACCGCCCGGCATGGCCGCTTTCTCCTGACGGTGCGCGCTGCAACCCCAAAAGATCCTTCATTTTGCGGTTTCCTGTCAGGATGTCTGACTTAGGGCGAGGCTTGGGGTCATTCGATTTGCCAAGGGAGGGTTGGTGGTAGTCATAGAAGTTGCGTTGTTGGGCTGGCCCGTAGCCTTTGGGTGTATAGAGCGAGACTTCGTCCGCCATGCTTCGACTCATATCGGCGGTCGAGTTTGGTCTCGATCGACCCATAGGCTCTTTGTAACCCGAGGTCGAGTCGTGTGACCAGACTGGAGATGGCATGGGGGATGGCATGTTATCAATCAGGTCAGTCGGGCTGCGATTTTCCTTATCGCGACTCTGCTTCGAGCCATCCTTTCTTCCCCGTTGAGACCTTTTGAGAATAGCCGAGAGACTATTGGATGATTTGGCCTTCTTGGGCGACAGATCAGGACTCTGCCCGGCCGTCTCCTCCGATTTACCATCCTTCCGCTCCATATAATTCCTCAGAGACTTCAGTGAAACAGCACTCTTGGTCTTCTTATGCAAGGCACCTTTGCTTTCCTTGCTTCCCATCTTTGACGTGGCTACTCCGTGGTCGCCCGCTTCACGATTGGGAACAATCTCACTAAGCGGGCGGTAGCTGGCAATGGAACCATGCTCCTCACCAAATGAGAAAGGGATGTTCTCGGTTGGCTTGCTTCTCTGCAGAGGCCGCGGGGCAATGGCATCGTCGGCCGATTGATTTCGTTTATGGGTTTTGGATGACATTATCGCCCGGAACATGGACTGTTTGGTAGGGGATCGGTTCGCATCGTCAAAGATTTGGGGACCAGAGGTACTCGCAGCCATTGCTATCCTCTTTGGCCAGCAACTAAGTACATCTTATTAGCAGATGAAGTGGAGGGGGAACGGGTAGTTGCAGTTCGGACTCACGGGATCTGTGGAAACAAACGCAGAATAAAACAGAAACGCAATTCAAAAAAACAAAGGGTAATCAAGTATAGCCCCTAAATTTCCAAAGAAGAAAAAAGGCGGGGAAGGAGATAGACTTGGTGAAAGGAAAAGGGAAGATCAGATGGGCAGACTGGGGAATTTGAAGAATCAACGGCGTCTTGCTGCCAACAGCAACCGTCATCGAATATCAAGATGTTGATCCACTTGCCTCGACTTAGCGTATGGGACGATCCTTGGGGTTGGCTGGATTGAAGGTGGAGGAGTAAACAACGTGCGGGTAAAGAGGTTGCGAGGGGCAACGTATGGACTTGGCGGTGAACATGGGGGTTCATTAGCAGTTCCTTCGCCCTTCTATAGTGAAATCTTCCTATGAGAGCCAGACATGTCATATTGCATATTATTGCCCATCTTGTTATTTTTAATCATGCATAGAATCCTTGCATGTTTCTTTTGTTTGTTATTGTTATTGTTATTAGTGAATCTGACTAGTATATATATATATATATTGAATCCTTGATATCAACCTGATACATCGACTTTGAAATGTAAACATGAAAAAGCAATATCTATATTCCAATTATCTCATAGGGTATGGATTACAATTATCATTCCTCTTTGTTATTGACATCTTAAGTATGTCGGGAAGGCTGGCCCAATTGAAAACAAACACACTGTACTCCGTATTACATGCACTGATATCGACTCGCCACTTTTTTTTTTTTAGATCTTCTGATCACATTTATGCAGATTGTGCATATATGGATGACTCTTGACCGTTTACTCCGTCCTGTTAGAGTGGAATTCGATCCACAACCTGTTTGTGATTCCCGGGGAATTAAGGCGATCACATAAAAAAAGTACGAAGTAAGAATGAGAGAATTACATGTATGGAGTACGATAAGGGAATTGGGGAGAATGTGAGACACGTTTTACATATAAGCTTTACCGAGTATAGAACGGGAATCAACGGGAAAATCGGGCAGTTTCGGTCTCACAAGTTACACCCAACTCTTTACCGAACACTCAAGAAAGCTGAAAATCACAACCTGCAGATATGAATTGCCCCTCGCGGACTGACGATACACTCAAAAATCCGAGCTGGAATCAAAGCCCACCGCCCTTCAGCCCGGATACGACTATGCGAAATGATTTCAATGGTCTAGCCAATTCTAGAGTTCATCGCAGACATGCCAATTCTGCAAATACAGGAGATGACCCATTATCTATCGACAGTCCGAACAGTCGACAAGATCCAGATCCCGGGAAAGAAACGGTCACCGGTGGCGAAGTGATCGCTGCGGACTCGGGAGGTGATATACCCCCGAGGAGCAGCGGGTCACCTCGCCATCCTTTTTTTACTTTTTTGACATCCTCTACACTGCACTGCGCTCGAAGCTTGGCTAAATTCAGCCGTTTCATTGGCCCTGGTTTCCTCATTGCAGTTGCATATATCGATCCGGGAAATTACGCCACCGATGTTGCAGCTGGTGCAGATTTCAAGTATGCCTTGTTGTTTATTGTCCTCGTTTCCAACCTATTTGCGATTCTTCTGCAGTCCCTATGTATCAAGCTGGGCTCTGTGACTGGTTTGAATCTCGCCGAAAATTGCCGAGAGCACCTTCCGAAATGGCTAGTGATTTGCCTCTATATCCTCGCGGAAGCGGCCATTATCGCAACTGATATTGCAGAGGTGAGTGCCACATTTTCGTCTAGACAATTTTAATTGAAGTACTGACAAGCCCGAAAGGTGGTTGGATCAGCGATCGCATTGAACTTATTGTTCAATCTCCCTTTGGTAGCTGGTTGTGCTATCACATTGGTGGATGTTCTTTTCATTCTCATTTTCTATCGACCTAGTGGGAAGATGTGGGGTCTTAGACTATTCGAGTTCTTTGTCATGGCTTTGGTACTAGGTGTTGTTGTTTGCTTTTGCATTCAGCTCTCTCTCATAAAGGACCAGTCAGTTGGTGAAGTGTTCCGAGGATATCTACCATCTTCGGCCATCGTGCAATCGGAAGGGTAAGTCTGTCTAGCGTGCCTTTTGGCTGCATATACAGCATGTCTAGCTACTAACGTATCTACAGCCTTTACCAAAGTTGTGGAATCCTCGGTGCCACTGTTATGCCACACTCCCTATTTCTTGGTAGCGGTGTGGTTCAATCCCGTCTCAAGGAATTTGATGTCAATTCCGGTTACGTTGAGTCTACTGTGCGTCTAGGGAACGCCGACGGCGAAGTGAAATATCGCCCATCGATCTATGCAATCCGTGGCTGCATGAAGTACTCAATCATCGAGTTGTCGCTATCACTTTTCACATTCGCCCTGTTTGTGAACAGCGCAATCCTAATTGTCGCGGGTGCCGCTCTTTATGATGTTCCTGGTGGAGGCAGTGCCGACCTCTTCGGAATTCACAGCCTGCTCTCAAAGTCGATCGCACCAGCTGCCGGCCTAGTTTTTGCCCTCGCTCTGCTACTGTCAGGTATTTCTGCTGGGATCGTCTGTACAATTGCTGGTCAAATGGTGAGCGAGGGGATGCTGAATTGGACCATTAAACCGTGGCTTCGAAGACTCATCACTCGCTCGATCAGTATCATTCCTAGCATCATCATTGCTGCGTCTGTTGGCAAGGAGGGCATTGACAGGACTTTAACTGCGAGTCAGGTTGTTTTGAGCGTTATTCTGCCATTTGTCTCGGCTCCCCTTATCTGGTTCACTTGCCTCAACCGCTACATGACTGTCCGGACCGAAGAAGCTTCCGAGCGAGAGGGTGAAGTTGAAGTGATCACAGTTCCGATGCGGAATGACCTACTCACTTCTGTGGTTGCGGTCCTTGTGTGGATTGTTATCGTTGTGATGAACGTGGCCCTACTGGTGCTGGTGGGAATGGGCAAGGCATCTTAATTTATAGTGATGGTTTTCATCGTAAAATATACGTATCTGGGTCGATATGAGTGACCACGCATGTCCCTGGCTACAGTGAAAACGGATCTACGGAGCTTAATGATGCATATGCTAATTGATATGATATGCCATGAATGGAAAGAGAGCTTCAAATACGATATGAGCGTAGCTTATTGCAAGTTAAAATAAACACCCAATCAACTCCGCTGCCTGTGCCCTGACACAGAAGAACACCCAGTTGCCGCTAAACAAAAGCACGCTTTATCATTAGTCTTATCCAAGTCCGCCTGCGGCCTCCTTGACCTTATGGCTCTCAGGTGGATCATCAATGAACTGCGGGGGAGCCACCTCATCCTGTAAGAAGCTCGGCATGGCACTCTCGCCCATGCTGCTCTCAAACATGGATTCTTCGCCAAGCGCCTCAAGCTCTGCGTCCAACTCGGCTTCATCGACATCCTCCGGGACATCATACGCCCGAGAGATACTTTCTTGAATCTCATTCCCGACCTCCATCAGATCCGCCATCTCATCCTGCATCTGCTCGATCTTATCGATGTCGACCTTGCCATACTGCTTCTTGAGTTCCTTGGTCGTGGTCTTCATCGCATCCACCGTCGTCATAACATTCTTCAAATTATCCTGCATCATGCCTGCCTGTTCCATGTTCCATGATTGTTGTGAGAGTTGGTCCCGCTGCGCCTCGTATTGTTTTCGTCGCTGAAGGACTTTGAGCGCTTTCTGTCGGAGGGCATTTTTGCCGGGCCCGTCGCGCATCTTGGCGATCTTGGCCTGATATGTGGAGAGTTCGGAGTTGAGGGCTGCTAGCTTGACATCTATGCTGGAAACTCGAGTGTCGACCTGTTTGTTGTATGGTTAGTGGGGTACCTTGAGGGGCGGATCGGGATCAGGCTTGTGCGGGCAGCCTACATTGGTAATAGCGCTTTCAAGAGTCGGCTTGGGGCCTGTACTCTTTGTGCCAAATAGTCGGTTCATGATGGTGGTTGAGTTGGGAGTTTATTATTGAAAGGTGAAGGTGAGGGCAAATAGGCAGACTTGGGAGCGATTCCAGACCACGCGTGGCCAGTGCTCAATAAAACGGCAATCGGTGGCCGAGAGGGTGATTAACCAATAGCTGAACAGAGCACTTCTGGTAAAAGCTGGGCAGTATAGAATAAAGGGAAGACTTAAATTATTTCAAAAGTAGCTATATCGTATATTGTAGGTTGGATGTCCTTGTGTCACTTTGCTTTCCCTTTCCGTTTTGGTCCTCGAGCCTTGCCGCTGTAGAGCCGACCTCGGGAGCTTACATAAGCTCACTGATCGGGCGCCCGCCCACCAGTGGACCTGTACTCAGCCCTGTGCTGGGGCCGGGCACAGGTGCCCAGGGGCCGCCCAGATGCACCCGAGGTGCCACCTGAGCTGATATCGATATCTTTTCGAGTGCTCGGGTCCGATCCTATAGCATGTCAAATTGGCCAACTTCCTGGTGAAGCTCAAAAACGACTCGCGGTTTCCAATGACGCCAAAGCAAAAGCATTGTTGTCGTTGGTAAAAAAACAACCAAAAAAAGGGAAAAAAGTCATCGCCTATAGTCGATTCGACAGCTTGAGAAACTTACACCCAATCTGAGTGTGGACATAGATCCAAGAGGCAGTACGCCGATGTCGCCCAGATACCCGTCCATAGGTGAGTAGAAGCTTCAAGCTAGGGCCGAAGTTAGCCTGTATAGACTAGCGAATGGGTGTTCACCCGACGGCATAAAGAGTGTTGCAATTCGCGCTACCTGCTTCGGGGCCTGATAATGGGAGAGAAGACTTCTGGACTCGGTGAAGCACCCCTTGCGTTACTTAAGGGCGCTTTGCCCGAAAACCAAGACCCATCAGTCAACGTATTCATCCAAACGAGACGAGATATACCGTACTGCGCAGCTATTCGCCGGTACTATCATTCATCGGACGTCATGAATTCCACAAAAAGCCTCCCTGCAAAGCCACTATAGTTGTATCCCTGGAGATCCAGGCCACATGGTAACCCACCGTGATATGCACCTATGGAGATTATTTCACTCTGCTGTTCCGCATTAATGTAAGGTATTCTAAACTATGTATTTGGAGGCGAAAAATAAACACAGAATGTAAACACACGGTGACCGCTACATTTACTTAGCCAAAAATGTACTTTAGTTGTTATGCTATCTGACGAGAACTCCGTACTTGTCCCAGGCTGCCATTTAATATTTTGGGGAAATAAAAACATTTATTTAGCAGGAGAGAGCCCTGAACATTGATACTAAAAGCCAGATAATGATAGGAATGTCAGATCCTTTATATTCTATATATAGCCTGGCTGACTTATTTAGGTCTCGCGTTGTAAAAGGTATGATTGGCGTACGTTGAACCGACGGTGACAATTGCTGATAGCATTAAGCTATGGGTGTATTCATGGCCTGAATTAGAAACTTACCTATCCTACTAACTCACATGTATCAAACTAATTTACTCTTCGGAAAGGAAGCAGGGAAAGAGAGAGATAAGTGGATTGTAAAGGGACGGACTATCTCTTTAGGGTACCTAAGGTGGAAAGCCTGCCACATGTAGTTTCACAGGAGACACCACAGCAATAGGTAAAATGGGTCAACACGGGACAAAGAGCCAAGCAGGTTGTCCGCGTGTAGTAATAAGAAGATTGGAAACAAAAGAATGGACATCCAAGGCTACGATTGAACAGAGCCTCGCACAAACACAAGTGAAAAGAACATGAATCAACATCCAACTGATAGTAGAGAGCCTAGCAAAACATTGCTAGAGATCACAGATCTGTGGCTCCCTGACTAAGCTTCAATCCCACTTCAGTTCTTCAGCGTTTTGGTACCATTAATGGCAACGACGCGCTTGTTGTTGAAGGTATCCTGCAGGAATTTCTTGGAGTTGTGCTTTCCATCCTTGATGAACTCGTCGTTCCAGGCCATCCAGTAGGCCCAGGGAACGTGCTTCTTAGCCTGAAGCTCCGGGTCGGGGATCGATCCAACTTCCGCCAGCGCAAGGACTCTCTCGCCCTTTGTGACATTTTGCAGCCCGTGGAATTTATCCTCGAGGACACCATGGTCACCAGCCTGGGCATAGTGGTCAACAGTGGCAATATCGCACTTGTCATTTCCAGGGTACCATTTGGGATCGGCGGTGTTGCAGACCCAGACAATGTTGTGAATATTGTGCACGCGAGTGATGCGGTCGTAGATGATAGCCCACAGCTTCTTGAAAGGAGCTGGGCCTTTAGCACCCCACCAGAACCATCCACCCTCCGGCTCGTGAAGCGGACGGAAGAGAACCGGGACGTTTGCATCAGACAAACGCTTGAGCTGGACCGCAATAGCATCGATATCCCGAATCAACAGTCTGTAGTCGGTTTTGTTCGAGCGGTGATCAACGGCGTTGGCCACATCGAAACAGGTTGCCTCGGTGTAGAAGCCTCTGTACCATGGCTGCTTCTCGGTTTCGAGCAAGCAGTTAGGAGCGTACCAATGCCAGACAAGGGCATTGATACCACCTTGCTTATCGAAACTGATGGCCTCCTCGACGGTCTTACTCTTGCCTCCGTGGGCAACGGCAGAGGGAGAGTAATACATGAGGTCGGTGCCCAGAATGGCTGGGGTAGCGCCGATATTCTGCTTTACCCATTCTAGACTGGCCAGATCCTGCTGGCCGGAAATGTAGTGCGAGCCGTACTGAGACTGGACATATTTGAGGAGTTCCTTGGCTCGGGGAGTGGCGGCCTTGTCAACGTTGTCGTAGGATAGCCCGGCGGCCAGCGACGAGGCAAGAAGAGAAAAGAGTGAAAGTCTGGCGAACATGATGGAACGCAAGAGCTGTAAGAGCTAGAAAGAAAGAACGAAGGTAGTTGGGTGCTGATAATGCTACATGCGGCATGCTGCTCTCTTATAAGTTTAACCTATTCCTACGTGTAATTTAGCCGTCGATCGTTGGAATCAAAATGAAACTGCAATTCAACTCATTACTATAGGGGCTCTTTATTATTATCCACAGAACACCCTCAAAGACGTAATATCGTTCGTTGTGTCTTAAACTCAGTCCATGCTGACGTTTCAAGCAGACAAACTCATATATGATTTCGAATGTTGAGCCCCACTTGGACTGGAAATTGTTCGGTGAATTATAGCGCCTACCGGAGACGGCTTCCCGGCTTGAACACATGGCCAAGTCCCCTCGGGGCCCCGGGCCAAACCCTAAGTTTACCGTTTTTATACCCACCTTGGAAGGTGCAACGGAAATCAATATCTCAACTGTAGGATAGCTTCTGGGATGTCGTCAATTATGAACTAATAAAATACCGTCTAAATATAAGCGTGGTTCAGAGTTCGGAAGCTTTTGTCTTATATATTGTAGTTCTTTTGATACTTAATTCTCAACTTCAAATGATCTTAATAGAAATTGAGTTTTATCTTCATTTCGATTTAATCTAGTTTTAACTTTAGCCCATGCGGCCCCAATCTCCTTTCGCGTGGCTTTACCTAGGGTATGGGGTGATAAGCGAAGGGTCGAGTAAGCTCTAGTATTGCATCGATAGTAACCATCAAACCCACTCGAGGATTGATCTGCAGATCGGCTGAGACATAAGGCTATACGGGTTCAACCTGAAACAAAAGCAAGTTAATCCATGGACCAAATGAAACCAATCGAAATTATCTAAACTGATGACCCGACCCAAGTTGCGTAATGTCCATTTATTTCAGGGCAGTGATTGGGAAATCAGTTTTGAGCTAGGCGAACGGTTGCGGGTGTGGCGCCAACATTAAAGATTAGGTACTCCGTACTCTACTCCGTAGCATAAACAGTCGTTCGGTGAATGAACCTTGGATTGAATGACTCGTCCGGCGAATGAACCGGCAAATGAACCGGCGAATGAATGACTAACAAAATATCGACTACAGTTCCAAGGATGGAAGGGCACCCGATAGAGTAGACGAGTATGACGTTGCCTGGTAGTAAATGGTATAGTCTATCACACTAGGAGTCAATGTCGAATATTGTTAGATTGCTAGTGCAACTTAGTTGATGTTGATACGAGTGTGTCTGAGGTGATAAATTGAGATCATCTCCAATCTATTACAATCGTCCTGTCTGCAAGGTTCTGCTGACATACAGAATGTGAATGAGTGATCAATCTAAAACTGAATCATCTGAGCGTACAGTGACATAAGGAAATGATAAGAGGATCAGAAGTGTACTTATTATCTTGTAGCGATATCTGACCGAGTTTCCGGATGTGAATATTAATGGCTCTCTCTTATTCCACAAATAGAGGTTAGTTATTGATTAATGATAGCTATGTGCTGTGCGCATGAATGTCACATCAACTACAGTCAATACGAATATTGATAAACATTATAGCTGAGATGCATTCAATGGTATTGATGCGACTATTAGTGGAATTGTGAATCATTTTTGGTCCCTCGAAGATGCTATGATATATGATTTTACCTGATGAATTCGACGAGTACCTATTTTACGACGGGTTAAGACAAAAGTGAGATAGCTCTGCCGAGTAGATGTATAAATAGGCGCTAGCCCCAAAGGAAAATGCGCTCAGACCCGAGATACCAACCAACATCGGATAGTGTCAATAACCTTGGAGCCATATATCAAGATCAAGGCAAGCTAGGCTGTGAAGATGCCTGCAAGGGGCCTTTCTGAGAAGGAGAAAGCAATAGGGCCCCTACAAATTTATTAAAAAAGTATAGGAAAACTGTTGTATTGGAAAAGGATACGAGCTCGAACTATGTTGTATATAGAAAACCATGTTATGCCTGAGGCTGAAATATACACGTGATCGCAAAGTACATTCGAAGTTTCAGTTCATATGGTTTTTATACCATATTGCGTCTGTTCATCCATTGAATGTTTCATGTTAGTGGGTATATGCTATGGGATTCTACAAAACATTTGAAGTGATGGAGCACAATTACTAGATGATATACTATCTGCTGATATCCTTGTATTCGCCGTGGTAGTTAAGTTGGGCTATGTGGGACAGAACACTGAATGTGTTGAATACTCTCTTTTAGCACACAAATCTGGCGGGGAAGGGTTGTACCCAGTACACAGTACCCACCGTCATCTTGATGGATGCAGCTGACCCCATGATGAGATGAAATGGAAATTTGGAATTTTTAAAGCCCAGTAATAGATAAGTCAAAAGAAAAAGATATGATAAACAATTCTCATCAAAGTCCTATATACAATTCAGGGATCTTGTAGTTCATTCTTATCTGGAAGTTTTATCCCCGCGGTGATTACATACGTGTTTCCGCCCCTGCTACAGGGCTCGTGGCCATCAGGGATCGGTAATCAGCACAGCTTCCCCGAAGCGGAACCTCACCTCTCTTTCTTCTCCCTTCAACTGCTTCCTCGATGGACAGGTGTTGAGTCACCATTACCATCTGTGTGCGTGTGTACCCTCGAGTCTGCTCATTTTGACTCTCCTAACTCCACTCGCCATTTCTTCATCTTCCCCTCCCCAAACCCACAGGGAGGTCCAGATTTCTCTCTTTCTTCGTCATTCCCTCGACATTGAAGGTACGATCTATCTAGAGTCCTGTCTCCTGGTTTAGCAGCTCCTACAAATCCCCCTGAGTAGATCCTTCAACTCCGTCGCACCAACTCGGTGGAGGCGGCCTGCTTCACGGGAACACATCATCGGGATTGCTGGTCAATGCAAGCGTGTAAACCTGATTGCTAATACATCATCTATTCACACAGCGCAAGATCGCATCAATTTTCAATCCATTTACGTCTCTAGTTCTAGTCATTTATCGACCGTGACGGTCCAGCCTACCCCACCCGACCTGCGCGACCTGGTCTCTGTGTGTGGACACCACGCTTGGCTTGCCGGTGTATTGGCCTGTCGCGCAATCTCTCCTGGGAACCCGATATTTCAACCAACCCTTGTACCATAGACTGCTCCGTTACGACATCTCGGAGACGAACGAAACGAATCCATTTTATGAATCATTTCCCTCGGTTATATACTCCATCATGTTTTGGCGCTTTGGGGGATACGCGAATATCTCCACCATCGATACACTACTCGACAAACCCGATATCACCCTTGAAGAACTCCTAGATGAGCCCGAAATTATTCAAGAATTGAAACAGCTTAATACGAAACTCATTGAATATCTGCGCGAGGATCATGTCTTGAAACGGCTTATGGACTATGTCACTGCACCAAGCTTGGTGAGTGATGACGAAGAGAACGATGAAGATGATGTGAAAGATGCCTCAAAGAAGGACAAGGATGCTGCCGCTTCTGTGGACCAGACAGACACAGACGAGGAGAAGGAAGGGGATCCGCTGAAGGATATTCTTGACCCGGATGACCTGGACAAAGTTGAGAAGAATCGTTTGAAGCATGCCTATATCGCTTGTGAGATTCTGTCATCCGAGACCTGGTCCATCCTCGAATCTATGATGGCCAACCCTTCGTACCTGCGAGACTTTTGGGACTTCCTGCGACGATCACCGCCTCTCGATTCATTGCAGGCAAGCTACTTCACCAAGGTAAACGAGACTTTGCTTGATAAAAAGACTGAGGAGATGCTGGAGTTCCTTAAGACTCTCGATGGAATTGTCCCAGCATTGTTGCAGCATGTTGATAACCCGATGGTCATGGATCTCCTCCTGAAAATCATCAGCCTCGAAAAGGCAGAGGGTGGCCAGGGTACCGTCGACTGGCTCAAATCTCAGGACCTAATCCCCAATCTCCTGTGTTTCTTGTCGCCCGATGGCCCGGCATCCGTTCAAACCTCAGCAGGTGACTTCCTGAAAGCGATCATCACTATATCTGCAAATGCAAGCCCGAATGACCAGTCATGTATTGGCCCTAACAGCTTGACACGTCAGCTTGTCTCGACCCAGTGCGTACAGCAGCTCATCGATGCCATGCTCATGGGTGGTAACCCCCTGACCGTGGGCGTGGGTATTGTAATCGAGGTAATTCGCAAGAACAATTCGGACTATGATCCTGAGTCCCTTGGCGGACCTGATACCATGCTCACCACTTATGACCCAATCTATCTTGGAACGTTGCTGCGTCTCTTCGCCAAACATATTCCGCAGTTCATGGCTCTCATTCAGAGTTCCCAACACACTATCCATGATGGAAACAAGCTCAAGACTGTTGAGCGAGGAAAGTTGAGCTCCGCATGGGGTGGCCAGATTGAGCCTCTTGGTTTCGACCGATTCAAGACATGTGAATTGATGGCAGAGCTGCTTCATTGCAGTAATATGGGTCTTCTGAATGAGCCAGGCAGTGATGAGTACGTCAAACAGAGAGATGAGGAACGTGAGCGGTTGATCCGTGAAGGGGTTTTCAATCCGCACCAAGACGAGAATTCCGGGATTGATTGTAATGATACCACGGCCGATTTTGCAAACGATTCAGCCTTTGATTCTGGATCACCGGAAGATACCAAACCCACAGAAGCGCCACGCGCTGGCGAAGAAGAAGGGTTTGAAGATGTTGGTGCATCTGGTGTTTTAGTGGGCGCAAAAGCTGGTGCCGACACAACGCCTAGTGCAAACCCGCAGTTAACGGAAACGGCCAGTGAGATTCCTTCATCAGATACCACAGCAGAAAAGCCGATGTCTCCCGACGAAACCACAAATCCATCTCAGACTTCCACCGCAGCCATTGACCCCGCGTCGCCTACTATTGGTCTCCCTGACCAAGTTGGCAGTATGAAGCTTGAAAATGAACCACAAGACGAGCAGCAAAAGTCCGAAAAGAACAGCCAAGAGCCCGTGGCTTCTCCCCCTCAAGATGTGCCTGCCCCTCTTTTCTCGAAGGAACAGGGATCGGAGTCGAATCCGCCTCCTGCCGATCAATCGGAAGAAACACCTAGTGTTACTGCACAGGCCGAGGAATCAAGCATTATGAATGATGGAGGCGATGAGGATTCGGCGGAACAATACATCCAACTCGATACTGACGGGCGACCTGTCGTCGGTGATTACTTGAAGATCCAGTTTGTGGAGAACAAAGTGGTCCCAACAATTCTGGTTAGTATTTCTCTTAGAAAAGGCCCGACACCTATGCTAACCATTGATAGGGCTTCTTTTTCCGTTTCCCATGGAATAACTTCCTTCACAATGTTGTTTACGATGTGATCCAACAAGTCTTCAATGGCCCCATGGAGCGCGGCTACAACCGGGCACTTGCAGTCAATGTATTTGACGTCGGACAGATCACCACCGCGATTGTTGAAGGACAGAAGCGCAGCGATGAAACCCAACGGACTAAACAAATCCGCCTCGGATACATGGGCCACCTTACTCTTGTTGCGGAGGAAGTCGTTAAGTTCAGCGAGCGTCATCCGCCAGAGTTGCTGTCACGGGCCGTTATGGAGAGCGTGTTGAATCCTGACTGGATTGAGTACGTCGAACAGACTTTGTCAGAGACTCGCGAGCGGGACAATGCCATCCTAGGCGGCGTTCGTCCTGATATGTCTGGGTCTCGTCAGACTAGCCTTAACAACACCAACTCTGGCCAAGGCTTCTCAAATTCCAATGCTCTGTCGGACGCAGGGCTGAATGGAGGAATCGGTGGCTCAAACTTCCAGAGCTTTGACCTCAGCCAAGGAAGTGTTTCCGGTGGAGCATTCGGTGGAGGTGGCACCTCCCTTCTGAGTGGCTTTGCCAGTTCAAGCGATGATGACGAGGACGAAGAAATGGAGGACCAGGACGATAGAGACTCCGGGAATGCTGATCAAGGAGACACTGACAATGTAGGTGATCTCTTCCCGATCGACATGATGGGGCATGAGTCTTAAACCGACCCCCTGCCTCTCCCATTATCTTTTCCCTTGTTCCTGCATTGTTCCATTTTCCTTTATGGTCATGGGCTGTCTAATGTATTGTATCTTTACTAACATGACTTTCTAATAGGTGTTGACAAGCTCAGCCAGTCAACCTATTCCTATTTTACCTCCGCCACCTGCTCCATTGAGCCTCGGTCCATCCCGAGCACGCCGTCAACTAGCCGCGCGCCTTGCCGCCCAAAAGCAACAATCATCAGAAAACGATGAAGGCGACGGGGAAGACAGAGGGGCCGAAGAAAATGGGGACCGAGAGTCAGACTGGCCGAGCAACCCATTCGTAATTGCAGGGATCGATGATGATGCCGAGGGAGGGAACTCTGCGTTCCCTAATAGTGACTTTGGTTCAGCCAACGCCAAACACTCACCTACCTTCCCAGAATCGGGATTCAGCCCTCCAGACTCGCTGTCGACCAACTCATCTGAAGATGAAAGCGATGGCCACGCCGAATCCGTGAGGCGCCAGGTTCGTGTCCCCCTCGAAGTCGAGGATGACGACGACGAGATGGGTGAGATGGTAGGACCAAGTGGCATTGGCATGATGGACTCCGACGATGAGGATGAGGCCATAATCAATGAATCTCTTGGTTACTCCAACCTCTCGGGGCCCGGCCGATACAACAACTTCCGCCGAACCCGGGCCGTGAGCTCTCATTATGATGACGAGCAAAACGACAGTAGCGATGGTGAGGATGATGGATTGGTGGAAATTGTGGTCCCTGGCCGCAAGTCCTCGACCTCGAACTAAACTTGCACTCTTTGCATTTGATTGCGTGGCCATGATGGTATATCCCGCCAGGAGAAATGGGGGTTTTACGCGAGTCGCCGTTGTGGCATGGCGTTTGTATATACACTTTCCATCGATGGAGTAGCTATGGGGTTCTGCATTCATGATCCTCAATTTCTGCATGGAGAGTTTTCTGATCTGATGTTTTATTGTCCTTGCATGTATCGCATGCCACCGGGAATCGACTTACGAGTCGATGGCTTTTGATTGTTGGCATTTGCCTGTGTACGATAGTTGAAGTCTGGAGAAGCGAATTGATTTAGTTTGAGCAATTGCGAACTGATCAGAGAGTATATTATCTCATAGACTCATATATCATTCCTACTGCGTAAAAAAGATGATCTTACAGGGAGAAAAAAAAAGCGGGCCCCCACCATCCCGCATCAATTCTTTCCTTTGACCACACCAAGGTCATTCTTGGATAACAGTGTTGACGAACTATACTATTTGTGAGGGAAGAAAAAAATAGATCGATCAAATAAAATCTATCGATTTGCTTCGAAAATGGCAGCTACCTCGGAGTAAGTGCACTCTGGAGATACGTCATTCCCAGGGCATTTTGCAAACCAAGAATATTAAAACATATCTAACACAAACAAAACAGACAAGTCGATCCAAAGCTAGAAGGCCACACAGACCTAGTGAACTGGTTCATCCAGCATGGTGGTATGATCGATAAGAGCGTGCGAATCGCACAAGATGCCTCTCGCGGCGTGCACTTGCAAGTGAAAGCAGACTGGCCAGAACCAATCCCGAAAGAGACCCGGGTGATTAACACTCCAATCAATGTGTCAATGTCCTGGTTCAATGCCGTTGGCTACGAGTCACCACGGGGCTCATTCCCTAAACACGGCATTGACCTCCCGCGGACATGGATCGACGAGGTCGGCCCGGAGGAGACTTTTGCTTTTTTCCTCATGGGCCAGTATCTACGGGGGCCTGAAGGATTCTGGTATCCTTATCTTCGTACCCTGCCTCAGCCGGGTCAATTGACCACTCCTTTGTTCTTTGGTGAGGAGGATGTAGATTGGATTCAGGGTACTGGGATTCCCGAGGCTGCCGTTGAGAGGATTAAGATATGGGAGGAGAGGTATGATTCGGGCTATCTTAAGTTGGATGCAATCGAATTCCCGAATTGTGAGCAGTATACATGGTGAGTATGGGAGATTGCTATCGCCTGTCCCTTTTACGCAGCCCGAGGAAACATTATGCTAATTTGTATGCAGGGAGCTGTATCTCTGGGCTTCAACTATCATTACTTCCCGAGCATTCTCATCAAAAGTCTTATCTGGGGCTGTTGAGCCCGATGATCTTCCAGAGGATGGAGTCTCTGCGCTGCTTCCGCTCATTGATCTTCCAAACCATCGACCAATGGCCAAGGTTGAGTGGCGAGCGGGCGATAAGGATATTGGTCTTCTTGTGCTTGAAGATCACTCAGCAGGCCAAGAGATTTCCAACAACTATGGCCCTCGTAATAATGAACAATGTACGTATCGCGTTTGCAATGATCTGATATTCAATCTTCTTGAACGTCTGAGCCCTCACGGAAACTAATTATAACCTAGTATTGATAAACTATGGATTCTGCATTGCGGGAAACCCAACAGATTATCGCATTGTCCATCTGGGCGTGAAGCCGGACAGCCCGCTCGGCGAAGCGAAGGCTCGCCAGCTGGAACTGTTCCCTCAGGTTGCCAAGAAAATCGAGGACCACTATTACATCTTCACTCCTTTCTATCCACTACTGGCCCCCCAAACTATGATGGAGCACTCGATCTTCTCACCGGCATTATTCAATGCATTGACCGTCATGGAATCGAACGCACGCGAGCGGAAAATGCTACAGATCACCGAGGACTGTATTCGCATTCCCCCGGGATATGGAAACAGCCATAGTATCTATGCTGCCCTTGGCCAGATTAGCTTTGAGCTCATGGCTCATGCCACAAATCTGAAAGCTAGCGCGGAACATCTGCCTTTGCAACCAACCACCTTGAACCAAACTCACTCCCAGATCTACCGCAATGGTCTAATCACATTAGATCAAGCTGCCTTGGTTATCGCTACTTGGACTATCTCACGTGGCAGGGAACACAAGCGTGGTGAAAGTTGGGAGGATACCAAGGTTCTCCTACATGAGCTAATGTCACGCGTCCCGGCCGGTCTCCTCTCAGACGATGTCATGTCCCGGATCCGAGTGCGTATCCTGGAGCGTCCGTCACTCGTCACTAAAAATGGTGAGCTGTTTAGATTAGGCGAGCTTTTCAGCCTTCTCCCGGCTGAAATGCAGGAGCCAGCGCAGACATGCTTCCAGCACGCTCTCGGAGTGTCGAGCCAGGTTGTCCCGAGTATTTCGACCGACCCACAGACTCTGTTTGCAATGGTTATTTGCTTGCTAGTTGCAACGTATAACTCACCGGAGGCAAGGCCAAGATTGTCGTCGCGTCTTAGCCGGTGGTTTACTTTCCTGCTCGAGCAATACCCTCCGCCTTCTGACTCTTCCAGATCCCCTGAAATGGGTGAAGCTAGCGAAACACTTCGTCAATTCCAAGAATATACCATTGAAGGACAGCCAAGCTCATTGGCATCCGGAGATGGAGTCAATTGGCTTACCGAGGATAGTGGGTGGTTGGACTCGAAGTGGCTTCAATGGGCATGGACAGTGGCAGGCTCGGAGATGGTGATGATTCCTCTTGAACCATTTGAAATCCTCAAGATGGAGGGTTCATTGTCTATGTTGAAACAGGCATGCCTTTATGTACCACAGGAGTAAATAAAGATATGGTAGACATGAATAATTCAAATGAAAATGTTTACGGTTCAGCCTACTTGCTTTGTGTCCGTTATCTTAGCCCTCCTAACTTGAAGATCAAAATGACATGAGAAGAAAAAAGGAACTTCACCCATGAGTGTCCGCCTGAAAAATAAATTCGGACACATGCTAGAGAAAGAGACCACTTCGATGGCCATGTCTTTATATATATAGATCACGTGACATAGCATACTTGAGGTCGTCATGACCAAACTTGGAATACTGACTCAGCAAAATAATCACGTGATGGGATACCATCCAATCATATTGCGCCCAAAGGCGGATCATTCAGCAAGCGCAGGAATTGCCGTGAGCTCCACGACTCCCTTCCCTCCTTCTCCACGACCCTTTGACCCTCACCACGCATTGTCACCCCCGCCGTCATCATGATATCCAGAGCGGCGGCTCCCTCCACCTCCTCCCTCTCCCACCTCTCGACCCGCTCCCTCCGCGCCCAGGGGGCGGCCGCCCGCTCCTTCGCATCTGTGTCGGAGGCACCTCCCGTGAAGCACTATGGCGGACTTAAGGACCAAGATCGGATCTTCACCAACCTTTACTCACACCATGGTGCGGATTTGAAGTCGGCAATGAAATATGGTGACTGGTACCGGACCAAGGATATGATTTTGAAGGGTGATGATTGGGTAGGTTGTCGCACAATTGACGGATTGGGGAATTACCAATTGCTAATGCCATGAACAGCTCATCTCAGAGATCAAGGCATCTGGCCTCCGTGGCCGTGGTGGTGCTGGTTTCCCTTCAGGATTGAAATACGTAAGTGGTCTACACGCAATTCCGACGAACGCGAATGTTTTGGGATACCCGGGCTGACCCGCTACTCGACAGTCGTTCATGAACTTCAAGGATTGGGACAAGGATCCTCGCCCCCGTTATCTGGTTGTCAATGCAGATGAGGGTGAGCCCGGTACTTGCAAGGACCGAGAGATTATGCGCAAGGACCCCCAGAAGCTGATTGAGGGTTGCTTGGTGGTGGGTCGTGCTATGAACGCCAACGCTGCCTACATCTACATCCGTGGCGAGTTCTACCACGAAGCTACTGTTCTCCAGCGCGCTATCAACGAGGCCTACGAGGCTGGCCTGATCGGCAAGAACGCCTGCGGTACCGGATACGACTTCGACGTGTACATTCACCGAGGAATGGGTGCCTACATTTGTGGTGAGGAGACCTCGCTCATTGAGTCCATTGAGGGCAAGGCCGGCAAGCCCCGCCTCAAGCCTCCCTTCCCCGCCGCCGTCGGTCTGTTCGGTTGCCCTAGCACAGTCACTAACGTCGAGACCGTTGCTGTGACACCCACGATCATGCGCCGTGGTGCTAGCTGGTTCTCTTCCTTCGGCCGTGAGCGCAACGCCGGTACCAAGCTTTTCTGCATCTCCGGTCACGTCAACAACCCCGTCACAGTGGAGGAGGAGATGTCCATCTCGCTGCGCGAGCTGATCGAGAAGCACTGTGGAGGTGTCCGCGGTGGCTGGGACAACCTGCTCGCCGTTATCCCCGGTGGCTCGTCGACTCCCGTCATCCCCAAGTCCGTGGCCGACAACCAGCTCATGGACTTCGACGCCCTCAAGGACTCCCAGACCGGTCTGGGGACAGCTGCTGTCATCGTCATGGACAAGTCCACAGATATCGTCCGTGCCATCTCTCGCCTGTCTACCTTCTACAAGCACGAGTCTTGCGGCCAGTGCACCCCCTGCCGTGAGGGCAGCAAATGGACCATGCAGATGATGCAGCGTCTCGAGACCGGCAATGCCCGCGAGCGCGAAATCGACATGCTCCAGGAGCTCACCAAGCAGGTCGAGGGTCACACTATCTGCGCTCTGGGTGAGGCCTTCGCCTGGCCCATCCAGGGTCTGATCCGCCACTTCCGTCCCGAGCTGGAGGCCCGCATTCGCCAGTACGAGAAGGAGCTTGGCGCTGCCCCCTTCGCCGGTGGCTGGCACCCCAACAGCCGTGCTGAGGGCAAGCTGATCTCACCTGGCATGTAAACGCACTTCGCACCTTCCGTTTCCCATTTACAACCCTTTTTTCTCCCTTTGTTGTCCCCTCAAAAAGAAGCAGGAACGGGTCGGGGATGATTATCACATCTAGACCTCTCTTATATCTCGCCCTCCCTCGCCGGTAATGTCTTTTCTTGTTTCTTGTTGCCTGGTCCGGCTGGGGAGGGTGGCGTTTCTCTTTTCTTTACTCTGCTCGATCCCCTCGTGTTCATCTATCGCGCCTAGGTTTCCCTTTATTGTACAGTCGGTAGCAAATTTGATGCATTTGATGTCTTCATTCATGCCCATATAGCATAGCCCCATTTTCTCCATCCTATATAGAGGCCGGCCGTCTACATATTTTAAGCTCTTTTTCTGCTATAAAACCGAGGAAGGAAAGAAAGTATGTAAAAATGACTACTCGAAAGACATCACAAGACCGCATAGCCGGCCGACTATCCCTATTTCCATGACGTGATTAGTGCGAGGCACAAAACAGACGACTGAATACAGTAACGACAAAGTCTACCGCCTCAGAATAGCAGAGCGATGATCCCCGAGTTTCGCTTCACTGGTTCGAGCGATTATCAATTCTTCCAGTTCCTCCAGTGACATTAACATCAGCACCAGAAACTGATGCTCCAGCATTAGTATCATCCTGTTCTCTCCTATCGGCCTTTCCTTCGACCCGAATCTCAGCTGCTCTCGCCTCTTTCTCCGCCTTCTTTCGTTCGATCTTGAGCAACCTCTTCTCTCTCCAGCCCATCCCATACATATTCTCGACCCAGAGCAACCCCATCCCAACAGCCATGACCAACCCTAGAGAAAAGAAACACCATCCCCATCCCATGCCACTCAGAATCTGGCTAATGACAGCGGCCCCAACAGCACCAAGGCAGCAGCGAACAAGATTGCATGCCGACGCGGCTGTGGCGGGTTTGTCTGGGAATAGGTCGACAAGAAGAGTGTTGAGGCAGTTCAGGGATGCAACAAAGCAGAAGCCTATAATGAACTGCAGCACCAAAGGGGCAGCTAAGTGTACTCTTTGCTGCAGGACCCAGCCATATGGGATGAATGCTCCAACGCCGATGGCCATTACCGGGAATACTGTTTGCAGACGAGCACGCTCGATTGGAAAACCGCGCAAATCGTCTCCTTTTTCCCGGTCCACCGGGAATCCGAGATTCTGGGCTGTCCGCTTGTAGTTGTAGTCAATGACTTTCCCATATAGAACTGCACCGAGGCAAGAGCTTACTCCGAGGGGCCTAGGAATTTGTGTTATTCAATAGACACCTTGGTTGGAAAGATAAGGAGAGAGACAATAGCTTACAAGAAACAGAGACCAATCTGCAGCTCGTTGAATCCGTACAGCGGACCAAAAAGATTGGGCGTGCTTGTCAACAGAGCGATATTCGAGAACATCACGATTCCGATGTATGAGATGATGATCAGGGCATCGCACTCCAGTAGAATGACAAAGGACTTGAGAGGATTCGGAAACCTAAGTCTCTTCGTATGCGGGAACTGTTGAGATTCTTCTGCGCCAGTGTCTTCTTCGCCCGACTGTGCCTGCCTCTTCGACCACCATTGGAAGACTGATTTGCGCCACCACTCGTGTGGTACTGCATTGCCGTTACCAACAATCTTGCGCGCCGTCTCCGGCATAGCAAGCACGTAGAACACCAAGTACCCTCCACTAACAATGGTCAAGAACCAGAAGATACTGCGCCAGCCGAGAAATTTAGCTAAAAGACCACCGATAACAGGACCAAGTGCAGGTGCAACCATAACACCTGCTGCCATGGGCCCAATATACTTCCCACGCTCTGCTGTTGTCGCAATATCCGCTATAACGCCATATCCAAAGGCCACGGTGCCGCTGCTTCCTGCGCTCTGGAGACAGCGGAGGATAAGCAACGCCGCGAAGCTGTTCTGTAACGCTAGCCCGATGTTGGCAGCAGTATAGACAGTGAATGCGATGATATACGCTGGACGTCTGCCCCCGGTGTCGGCGAATGTGCCCATGAAGCTCGGTGCGAGGCCTTGCAGGATCAGATATGTTGTGATTGTGAGGTTGATCAGTTCCGGGGTGAGGTGGTAGTTTCGTACCAATGTTGGCATGACGGGGTAGTATATTTGACCCGAAAGAGGGGAGAAGAACGAAGCAAGCGTCACCATGATTATGATGAACAACTTTTCGTACTTGCTGAATGCCGAGAACAATGGCTGTGAATTATCTGGCGCTGTTTCTGTGGACTCGATGTGTGGTTCAGGAGCTAGAGAGTGTAGACCGTTCTCAGTAGTAGTAGCTGTGGACTGATCATGAACGTTGTTGATCTCGCTGGGTGATGTATATGCGACTGGTATGTTGATGGGTACTTCAGTTAAGCCAGGGCCATATCCACTGTCGACTCTCCTTAACCTGTAATCTGGGGCATGTTCGAAGGGACCACGTACTGTCATGGTCCCTTCCTCGAGACTTCCTTCGACCATTTGCACCTCCATATTGATGAATAACGTATAAACAAAAGAAACAGTAAGAGTGAGTTAGAGTGAGAATAGAGAAGTGGAGAAATAGAGAAGTAGAAAATGAGAAGTAGAGAAACAGCAAGTCTAGCTCCTTCCGAAACGGTTCTGCGCAACCCTCTTTTACTTCGCACAACCACACTTCTATACACACGCACTTTTAAGCTTGCTGATTTAAATATCTTATAGCGTTGCTATTTGAATTAAACCTACTAACGCCTTTAACATAATTGTAACGCCAACTACAAAGGCATCCTTATAAGTATGCCCTTGAAGGTTTGTAAAAGCATTAGAATAAGATTGAAATTGATGCCTTATGAGAAGGAAAGCCCAGGATAACGCAAGAGACGCCAGTTCATTCACTAGTTACATGTATCTCAAGATAGATTACCAAACCAAATGCTCAAGTGTCCTTTTCGGTATACGCTGTAACCTATTCCTGACAAGCAGCCTCCTTCAGAGAACCCCCCCTGCGGAGCTCTTGTCGTTCCAGACGGCCTCTTCTCATTCATTCTCTTCAAGGTCAGAGGATGGCGGGTGACCGAAGTCGATGTTGATTGAAGGATTGACCAATTGAAGTGGTTGATTGTATAAAGTATACGGTTTATTGAAGTGAATGATTGACCATGTCTGCCGATTGTCCTGAAGCCAGAAGGCCCGCCACGGTCAGACTGGGAGTTGTTGATTGGATTGTTGAATTGGGATGATCGAGGTGGGCGGTTAATCGAGGTGGGCGGTTGATCGAGGTGGGCGGTTAATCGAGGTGAGGTGGGCGGTTAAAGTGGTTGCTCAACCAGTCTGCCGATTGTCCTGAAGCCGTAGCCCGCCACGGTCAGACTGGGAGTAGATGATTGAAGTAGGTTGATTGAAATGGATAACTTGATCGAGTTGGATTGTTTGACCAAGTCTGCCGATTGTCCTGAAGCCAGAAGGCCCGCCACGGTCAGACTGGGAGTTGTTGATTGGTTAATCGAGGTAGGCGGTTGATCGAGGTGGGCGGTTGATCGAGGTGGGCGGTTGATCGAGGTAGGCGGTTGATCGAGGTGGGCGGTTAAAGTGGTTGCTCGACCAGTCTGCCGATTGTCCTGAAGCCGTAGCCCGCCACGGTCAGACTGGGAGTAGATGATTGAAGTAGGTTGATTGAGATGGATGACTTGATTGAGATGGATGACTGAGATAGACGATTGAGATGGATGACTTGATTGAATAGCGTTGTTTGACCAAGTCTGCCGATTGTCCTGAAGCCAGAAGGCCCGCCACGGTCAGACTGGGGGAGGTTGATAGAAGTGGGTCGGTGGAAGTGGATTGATTGTTTGAGGTGGATGTTTGAAGTGGTTGCTCGACCAGTCTGCCGATTGTCCTGAAGCCAGAAGGCCCGCCACGGTCAGACTGGGGGAGGTTGATTGACTTTGTTGATTGAGATGGATAACTTGATTGAGATGGATGACTTGATTGAGATGGATGACTTGATTGAGATGGATGACTTGATTGAGATGGATGACTTGATTGAGATGGATGACTTGATTGAGATGGATGACTTGATTGTGATGGATGACTTAATTGTGATGGATGACTTGATTGAGATGGATGACTTGATTGAATTGCGTTGTTTGACCAAGTCTGCCGATTGTCCTGAAGCCGAAGCCCGCCACAGTCAGACTGGAACGGTTGATTGAGGGCTTGATTGATATCGTTTAGGGCTTTGTTCTTTTCTTTTTGTGTTTTGTTTGTTTCTTCTTTTTTGCTTTCTTTCTTTTTTTTTGTTTCTTTTTGTTTTTTTGTTTTGTTTTTTCTTTTTCTTTTTCTTTTTTGTTTTTCTTTTTGTTATTTTTTCGTTTGTCATTGCTAGCCTGCCAGTTGTTCTGAAGCCAAAACCAGTCACGGCAAGACTGGAAGTGGTTGAGTGAAGTGGATGGTTGATCGGAGGATCAGTTGAATGAAGGATTGGTTGTTATGATGGATGGTTGTCAGGGATAGTCATGATGGATGGTCATGATATATGGTTGTCCTGATGTATAGTCATGTCAGATGATTGTCAAGATATGTGGTCACGATGGATAGTTGGTACAATGGATGGGTATAATGGATGGTCATGACAGATGGATGGTCATGGATGTTGCCACGATGGATAGTTGTCACAGTAGATAGTTGTCACAGTAGATAGTTGTCACAGTAGATAGTTGTCACAGTAGATAGTTGTCACGGTGGATATCCTGATGTATAGTTATGTTAGATGATTCTCAAGATAGATTGTTATGATGGATGGTTATTACCGTGGATGGTTATGACAGATGGTTGTCATAAGATGGTCATGATGGATGGTTGTCATGATAGATAGTCGTTACAGTGGATGGATGTCCTAATATATAGTCATGTTAGATGATTGTTATGATAGATGGTTATGATGGATGGTTGTTACCGTGGATGGTTATGATAGATGATTGTTATAATAGATGGTCACGATGGATGATGGATGGCTATGATGGGTGGCCATGATGGGTGATCATGATGGATGGTCATGATGGATGGTCATGAAAGAAGTTTATCATAGAGACAAGTCATTGTGGAGGCAGGTCCACGGGTATGAGGGTGGGTCATGGAGGCCTTAAAAATATGGAAGTCAAGGCCCAGAGGAAAATTCAGAGGAGAGATATGAAGAAGGAAGAAAAGAAAAAGAAGAAAGAAATCTGAAGAGGGGTATTTATACCCTGGCAGGTCGACGCGATTTCCTACTTAGGAAGGAACCTCAAGGGTCGTGCCTTCCTCTTTTGCAGGAGTCACCTGATACAGGGTCTATTGAGACAGCCAATCTATGTACGTATGATGAGTTGATAGGATGTCCACGGGCACGTCTATTCCTTATCCCTAAGGTAGTATCTGAGGGTGTATATGCTTACTTTTATTATATTTAGGTATATCTCAGCTTTCTGAATGGCTGTATCTATTGACAGCACTCAGAAATAGTGAGATGTCGTTTACATTGTTCAAACTGGCTAAACGATCTCGCAGAACCGAGTGGGACCCCTACAGCAGTTAGTGGGTAGGTATCGTCGCCCACCTGTATGCGGATAAATCCTTGTCGAATATCATTGGGAGTATACTTGGGACAGTCTTGATTTGACTATAGTGGTAGACTGGATATGTGTCACGCATTCGTTGAACACATCGGTTTAGTGTGGTGCACCCAGAGTGTTACTACCAACAGGGCTAAGGTTGTTCATCTGCGGAACATCGTGCAAAATATGGCGACAGGAGTAGGTACATTTGTCTTTGAGAGGAAGAAGGTCGGATGTGACCACTCATCGTCGATAATCAATACATTCCTCGCTGGTAACCAACTCCGCGGATCCCTCTGTATAGTCTTCGTACGAAGAAGTTATATATATGTAGCAATTTGAAGCTGATATCGACAAGAATGCGCAGTTGGCTTACGCAGCCGTGCAATGTCTTTTTGATGCTCTTCATTGGAGTCTTGTTAAACCTCGTTTTAGATATTTTCTGGATATCATGTGTACATGACTTTACGATAGCTCCGGCGAGAAGGGCCAAAATAATCAGCTATAAAGTAGACAGGTCCTGGGCAGAGGGTAAGGAGTAAAGAGGTGTCACGAAAACCGACTTATATATATCATGTGCGCCTAAAATGGTACTTCTAGGCTCTTCCCTCATCTCTTATGTTTATGACCCGGGGTACACACTGTTGGTCTTCCTCATGCTGAATCACAGAAATTTTCCACATGCTTTGACGTGCATAGCGCTGAAATCATCATCCTCATCGGCCTTTGAGGGCACTTGCATCATAGCCGACGCGAATAAACTCCTTCAGTTGCCCTCCGAGACATGGGCAATCACCTAGAAACTCGACGAGACATCCCTCATGACTTAGGATGTCGACGATGAACTCGATCCCCCATTCGCCACCACCAAGCTCCTCTTCTACCGCAAGGACGACCCAACCAAGAAGCCGGCCTTTTGAGAATATAACATCAGATCCCTATCGCCGGCACCGAGTTCCCAAACGCTATAATTCGAGCGATGATCCAGACTATCCCACCAATTCGGCATCATGGGTTGACGGAGTTGAAAATGTTGAAGGAAAAGGACTACAATGTCGTTAGGCACCAATATGGACAGCAGAGGCATGGTGAAGCTATTCCCTTGGGATACACCACCTGTTGTCTCAGATCAAGTCCCTGGGGAGCCTCTGTCCCAAGAGTCTGGAAGTTGGACCGTGTAATTTGTAATGGAATCCTCCAAGAATGCTATCCAGTTTAGGGGTAAATTCATCCTCTATTTTAATCTATCGGGCCATGGAACTGACGTCTCGATAAGACAGCCTGTGCGGTACCCAGCCATGCGTAGCCACATGAAGCAGACCCATCTATGTAGGACGAGTTGGCTGGAAAGATATACATGGTATTCACGTCCCTGTCGTATGCAAGAGGGCGTGTGATTATTCTTCATCTTCAGGCATAATTTGGTCACAAAATGGCCCTATTGAAAGAAATAGTCTGATACAAAATACGCCCTGTACACAGTTTGTAGCGGTTTTCTATTGATGGATACTCCACGGGAATTCAAAACAATGTGTGATATTAATCCCAAACCTAACAACGGTCGTCTGCTACCAAACCCGGAAAGACCAGTGACTTCTTCATCTCGGCAGATGGGGAGGACTAGAATGAGGTTGCTCGGTACCTTAAGGTAAGAAAGAAAACGATCCGCCCCAATCCAGTAGAATGGGCTGTATTAGCCTTGAAGGTTTTTAATGCCCAATATCTCATGCCTAGATCATGCTCGCCCGGAATAGCCAGTATCAAGGATCTTAGTGACTCGTGCCACCTGTTTGAGTCTACCACGCAAGTCCTAAACACAGCTTGCCACTCCCCTGGTGCCTCGACTGCAGTGGGTGGGAATTCTGAATATGGTCGACTTGTGTGTAGCAGTTTGAAAACGAAACCTCGCTTATGGTCAATCAAATCCTTGCTGGTAACCAACTCTAAGTCCCTGTAGCCCCCCCCCCGGATAATATGAAAGATGTTATGTTATACGCAGAAATTTGAAGACTACATCGACTAACATGTCACAATTCAACAATCTATCAGCATATGGATATACCAGGCCCCCCTTGCAAACATCTCGATATGAGTCGTACTTAGGGTTGCAACCAATGATCCTAGCCGTAAGTGATCGGTATGACTACGAAGTGTTACAATATCTACACCAGAGAATGACAAGGACAGAATGAATTGGTTCAAATAGTAGTTTTCAGCAATAGGGTAGAGTACAATACATGTCATGGGAACCATTTGAGATCATTTGGGGAACAGAACACAGGGGAAAAAACAAAGGGGCAAAACAAAAGAAAAAAGATCAGGGTGCTTGGGCTTTGGATAGTTAGTGCCCGCTAATTCCACAACGAACATATGCGACTGGAACATGATTTGCTTGTTTTCTCAAACTTAATAGCCGCCCGCCATGATGACACCGTAGTACCGACGGCTCATCTCTGCGGTCTGCAAAACGCGAGCATCGCCTGTCAAGGGTAGACCTAGAATAGCGGAGGATTCGACGCACTGTAAAAAGACGGAAGTCAGTAACAAGTAAAAACAATATATCAACGGAAAAGGAAAAGGGAGGGAACTAACTTGAACATCCTCATGCGTAATCCAGCCAGCGACAGCTCGGCTCATCTCCTTAAATGCAACACGCTCCTCCAGTCCTTCCAAACCGGATCCCTGGACACGATCGCCCATGGCAACAAGAGCAGCCACCAAGCGGTTCAGGCGAGTTGGGTCACGTCGGCCGCTGGTGGAGTTAACCAGGCGGAGGAAATCTTCGTAAACGCCACCACCAGAAGTCCAGCCGCGCATTTTACGCTCGGGCCCGTCGCCGAAGCCAGAGACCAGAGCCTCGAGGGTACGGTAGTCACCCTCGATGATGGTGCTAGGACCGACGATGCGACAAAATGTGGCATGGGCGTCGTTCCAGTGCTTTCCGCGAATAAGACAGTCGACCTCACGGGCAGCATCGCCGATGTCGCGAGCATGCAGGGCCTTGGCAATCCAGATCCAGGGCTCGGGAATCTGTAGCTCAGTGACGAGATATTGCCATGCTGGGTGGGAGGAACCGTCGGCGGCAAAGGGCTCAGGGAGTTGAGCGGCGAACCGAGCGAGAGTCTCTTGGACGGCGTGCTTGCGGTCATCGGCTTGGGAGAGGTGCAGGAGGACAAACAGTGCTTGATCAAGTTTTCCGCCCGCGCTGAGTTCAGAAGCGAAGTCCCAGACGAGTTGGTCGGTTTGATGTTGGTTGATCTTGATGGCCTGGTTTTGTCCGATCGTCGCAGCGAGAACGTGGTGTAGCTGGAAAGAGAGTCGGTTGGACAGACGGTTACCGGAGACGGACTCAGGAAGGAAAGATGCCGGGAATTCAATAGATTGGGCGCTGTGGCCTTCGACCGCCGAGAAGGCCTTGAGTAGAACCCAAAGAGGAGACTCGCGCCCAAGGGTATCAGAGCCAGGCTGCAGGACCGCATGTGTACTGGCCTGGTGCGACGGGTGGGGGAAGGCGGGTTCTTGTCCGGTAGCCAAGTCCTCAAGGAACTTGAAAACAGCCACCTCGATTGGCTCATCTTCAGCAGTGCAATACCACAGACGAAGGCCGAAGGCCTGGAACCAATCTAGATCAAACCGCTCGGAGAAGCCAAAGCTGGAGGCCCGGTCTTCAAGCGCGCCGCCCGATTTTCCTTCGCTGCGGAGAGCATTTCCTGCAACCAGTTCGTAAAGGGCTCGTACGGGTTCGCTCATCTCCGAAAGTATGTTGGTCTGTCGCCATACATTGATCTGGTTCGCTATGTCAGCTCGCGAGGTAGCATCGCGGCCAATTTGGGCGACAACGGTGGCGAGATGAGGATTTTGACTGTCGATCAGTGTCTTGCACGCTTCGTCCACTCGGTGCGAACAAATCAAATGAACGGCGCGTTCCACCGGAGAGCGGATCAGATCCAGGTTTTGGGAGTGCTTTTCACGAATGATTCCCTCCCACAGACGTGAAAGTCGATCCTTCTTGATCCGGTGCGCAAATTGCTGTCGTAGTCGCACCGGGACACCCGCTGAGATGTCATCCTCAATATCGTCATTGAAAAGAATGTTCAGAAGTTGCCACACCAAGCGCTCTTCCTCCGACTGGGAACGGGTAGAAGGTGACAGAGGGAACTGCGACAGGTCGACCTTGGCCATACGAACAAAAGGAGTGCCGTCGATGCGCTGGATAGAGGACTGAAGCCGCTGGACCTCAAGCATTTCCCTGGCCTATATCATCATCAGTATCAAGTTCAAATAAGCATCAACAAAGCCGCTTAATCATACCTCGCCAGATTGGTTGTAAATCATCACTGCAATATCACGCTCCTCGCTGAAAACAGAGAAGCTTTCTTTCCAGGTCTGGTTCACCCCCAAGATTGTGTCCTCCATGTCGTTTTTCGCGCAGACGAGGGAGTCCATGGGACCCCAGCGGGGCTTGAAAGAGTCATGGAAAGCGGCATCGGATTCACTCATTTGTGTTGTATCGCCAGCAAACGTCTTGGGTTGCTTGTTGTAAGGCCACTGGAAGGAAGAGAAAAGTTTTAGCTCAGGTTATCGCATTGTTAAACTATCTGACAGGTGATGTGCAATTTCATAGATACATGATGCAGTGCCATGAGGGAAAAAGACAAAGGGAATAAAAATCAGTGTGAACATAAGAAGGGAGTTCTAACCTCAAAGCCCTTTGGCGGTGCCTTAGGGGCCTTCAGCGGAGAAGAAGCAGCTTGCTTGCGCGGCTGCTGAAATAAAGAGTTCATAAGATCAATGCTGTTCGAAAACCCCTTCTTGGGAGGAGCTGTCGCAATGGTTGTGGGGGATTCGTCGTTCACAAGGTTGCGATCAATGAAAGCGTCTGCCTGCATTTCACGCAAGGCATCACGATTCTGCTTGCGAGGGCTAATGGTGCGTTGCAGGTGCTCAGCCCAGTCGCCACTAAGATCAAGCTGCGGCTTTGTAGGACTGGCGAAACGTGTCGACATAGGGTAAGTGGTATCCAGATCACCGTTGGTGCTCTGGTAGTCGTCCCGCTCCACGGTGCGATGAGGAGTTGGAAAGGCACCCGCCATATCCATTTCATCTGCCTCATCTGATCCAACTACCGAATCGCCAGACACTTGGCTCTCGGTGACGACATCATCGTCATTCTCAGTAGTTGAACCCGTGGAGCCTTCCTCTAAAAAAGACTCGGTCTCACCCTCAGAAAAATAATCATCCTCCACAGGCATGGCCTGATTAGCGAAGGAGCCAGGAACAAGCTTGCGCTTTTTGAAATCGAAGGTATCGTCTTCAACACCGACCATGGAACCGACGAAGGACTCGTCGATGGAGAAAGTGGTGGACTGATCGAAACTCGTGGGGTGGTCAGGGCCCTGGGCACTCATGGTGCTCTGGTCGAGACTCTCGCCTTCCTCTTCATCATAGTCAAGGCCGTATGTGGTGAAATGAGGCACCTTGAAAACCCAAGTGCCAGTCTCAGTCTCGTAGTTAACGAACTCCGTGTCACCCACCTTCTGCAGGCGATCGATGTGCTTGTCGAACAAAGGACCACTAGTGACAGGCGAGTTGCTCTTCCTATCTCTGCCACGGGGCCAGGAGTTCTCAATCCGCAGGGTAGATGGCACGTTCAGTCCTTTGCCTCTGGCAGGCTTGACCGATTCCTCGGGGTAGACAGTAATCTTGCGAAGACCAATATCCACAACAGTGGTGAAAAGGTTGTCCAGATCAACGGTAGTCAGATCAACTGGGCCGTTGAAAGTGACAGATCCACAGTTATGACGGCCGACGGTGAAGTCAACGACTTGTCTGAGCTGGTCGCGGCTCAACCGGCTAAGTTCGGCACGTGAGGGCCGCATCCAATACTCGCCAGGCCTAGGATCACCACCAGGGATGAACGTGAGGCGCTTAACGGTAGCACCGTTGGCGGTTTGTGGTGCGCTTTCGGGGACAACAGCAAGGTCACGGCGGACGGGCTCCAGCTCGGGACGATCGGTAGTGCCGGCAGCGTCGAAACCATTAAGGCTACCGCTCTTGCGCACAGACCGGAGGAATCCAAGCTCCTCGGCAGACGGCTCAGGACTCTTGGGTTCAACGCGAACAAGTTCTCCACCGTTAGCACCGGAAGTAGTAGCGTCAAAGCTGACCTTTTTCTTCAGCTTGTCGGTAGACTGAGCAGCGTCTTCTCCATTGGTGAGAAGAGGAGCTGGGGAAGTACGAGTAGAGGTCGAGAGTATTTCATTTCTCAGACCACGGTTGATAGTGAGACGCTTCAGGTTGCTGGTACCACGTGAGCTGCCGGCCTGCAGGGCACCGGGAGAAAGAATGCTGTCCGATTCTGGGTCGAAGGTCTTGCTAAGACTGCTAGTGGAGTAACTCTTGCTGAAGCTACGACCAATGCTGCCACTCACACTGCCGCGGAGACTGTTACTGCCACCACCGGGACCCAACAAGCTGCTACCAAGACCAGATGGAGTACCAGTGTTGGCAGATGGCGAGCCATAAGTAGAGTAAGAGAAACCGTATCCACGCCTTGGAGGGGTAATGAGACGATTGGCAGCGTTGGGAGTAATTCTGTAGACTGGCAACGGAGTTCGCTGCTTTTGCTTCATGCTGGAAGACAGCGGGGTGGCAAGGGGACCGGGAGCCGATCCACCAGGGGCAGGAAGACCAGAGAAGATAGACTGGCTTCCATACGGGTTTCCATCAAGGAGCGACGCTTGGAAGCTACCAGGAGCAGGTTGAGACTGCTGTCCGGGCATAGAGGCACCGAAAGGACTGGCACCTAGGCCGCCGGTCTGCTGTTGCTGGTTTTGACCACCGAAGAGCGAAGAGCCAGCGCCCTGGCCCGTGGTGGTTTGACCACCGCCGAACAGGCTACCGCCAGTGCCTGCAGTTGAGCCAAAGAGGCCAGTGGGTTTCTGCTGCTGTTGGTTTTGTGTGCCGAATAAGCTACTACCACCAGTGGCTGGCTGGGGCTGCGAGGCACCGAAGCCAGAGAAACCACCCGCAGCGGGAGCTGGGGTAGATCCGAAGAGACCAGTCGGCTTTTGTTGCTGCTGATTCTGTGCACCGCCAAATAAGCTACTACCGGTACCAGTTTGCTGAGTTTGACCGCCGAAGAGTGAGCTACCTCCCTGCTGCTGAGGTTGCTGCTGGGCTCCACCGAAGAGTGAAGATCCAGTAGATGGAGTAGTGCCAGCGCCGCCGCCGAGCAAACCTGTGCCAGTTCCCTGCTGCTGAGTACCCGCACCAAATCCACCGCCGCCAAACAGTGATTTGGGTTGAGTTTGAGCTTGGTTTTGTTGGGTTGCACCACCGAAACCACCGAAGGCACTTGGTGCTTGCTGCTGAGTACCGCCACCAAAGGGCGAGGCTGTGGCGGTCGCACCTCCGAACGGATTCGCGGCGGTAGTTGTTTGAGTATTACCGAAACCACCAAAGGCGCTACCGCCAGTTGTCGCAGCGGCGCCAAATGCGGGCTTATTCTGCTGTTGCTGGTTGTTGGCACCGAACAAGGATCCGCCGGTGTTGCCGAAAGCTGATCCAGTTCCAGTACCGGTGTTACTTCCGAAGCCACCAGCCGTCTGTGTGGCTCCTCCGAAGAGGGATCCTGACGAAGCTGCAGGAGTAGCTCCACCACCGAACAAGGAAGTTGCTGGTTTGGCTGCTCCACCGAACAATGGGTTAGCAGGTGTAGAGCCGAATCCTCCTGCGGTCTGGGTTGAACCGAAACCAGTTGGTGCACTTGTGGCAGCCGCTCCGAATGGAGTGGTGCTAGCGCCAAAGCCGCCAGGAGTAGCTGTAGTATTTTGCTGACCGAATCCACCGGTAGTGGCGCCACCGAAAGCGGGAGCGCCAAAGCCACCGGCTTGTCCACTACCGTTGCCGAAGCGGCGACCTTGTTGATAATCCGCTAGGCGCAATTCCTCAAAGGACCATTTATTGTAGGGCTGCATAAAGCAGATGCTTTGGTAGTGGTTCGTAGTGTTGGTTGAGCTGGTATCCTTCTCGTTCCAAGGAGTGAACGGGGTGCCGCCAGTTCCTTCGCAGGTAGGTAGAGCTCCTTGAAAGGCAGTGCCTGAGCCACCAAAGCCGGTGGTGGGGGTTGTGGTGGAAGCCGCAGTAGATCCGAAGCCACCGCTAGTGCCGAATCCGGTAGTGCCCGTAGTCGAAGAGCCAAAACCAGTGGGTTTGGCACTGCCGAAAAGGCTTCCACCTGCAGGGGCTGCACTAGCATTGGCGCCAAAGCCGCCAGTAGTGCCGGTAGAACCGAATCCTCCACCAGTACCGAAGCCGCCGGTTCCAGCTGTCTGAGTGCCTCCTCCGAAGAGAGAGCCGCTGTTAGAAGTGGTGGTAGTGCCGAATCCGCCAGGGCGGGCTTGACCACCGAAAAGGGCGTTAGGTTGCTGCGCCGGAGTATTTCCGAATCCTAATGTAAAGTAAATAGTTAGCAAACACAATCAACCCTCCAATAAAACGATTAATAAAGTGCGGATTAATAAATGGAGGTCCTCCGGATGCATGTCGGCGAAAATGTGGGCAAGTCACAGGTTATTGGCAATTCCAGGAGAGGGCCACAAGCGATCTTTCCAGGGGGACCAAAGAGCAAATTCACAGAGTGTACGCGCGCGACCAGTCCAGGAGGATCTGAACCGCACTGTGTGAAGCGATGGGGGGCCTCGCCAGGGAATATTGAGAGTCGCGCAAAGCCCAGATGTTTGAGCACGTACCTCCGCCAGTGCCGGAACCAGATCCGAAGCCAGTAGATGTGTTGGAAGCGCCACCACCGAAGCCAGTGCCTGAAGTGCCACTGGTGGCACCTCCAAACGGGGAAGCTGTCGAGCCAAAGCCTAGATGACGGAGGGGATCGCGGTCAGAGAGACTTGGATTCGAAGAAGCCCTTGCATTCCTTATCTTGTTGTGGTGTCGCTAATGCATCCAGATAGTCCGCAGGTGATTTTCGATAGCACGGCGAAGGTCGTAATGTTGGTAGTTTTTTCGCCTCGCGCGTGGCACCACCGCGGGTCGGAACCAGGAGCACCGGTCGTCCAGATAGGGAAAAGCCGAGGACATGACACGAATAGGAGGGAAGATAGGGATAGGGCGAAAACGCAAAGGGAATTGAAAATGGGAGCAGAAAAGACCTACCTCCAGCAGTGCCGGTAAAGCCAGAGCCAGTGCCAGTGCCAAAGCCGCTGCTTTGGTTGTTCTGGCCGAACCCTCCAAATCCGAAAGACATGATGTCGGTTGGAGTTTGTCGGGTGTTCACGAAGTCATAGGTTGATTGCGCGCAGTTTCGAGAGAGTGCAGATTAATAGAAGGAGAATAGCGAGCAGGAGTGCGCGGGGATGGAGAAAAGAGGGAGAAGACGCGACAGAAAAGGAAGAGTTAAGTTTGCTGGAGACTTGTGTTAGGTAAGGTCCGGGTCACAATATTCCGTCACGTGATAGCTGCCTAAATCGGATGTCTCCAATGAATGCGGTGCAGAACAATGACAATAAACTTGTCTTCGGTCTTTTTATTGATAAGTGACTCATTAATCCTCAATGCAGCTTGATGCGAGATTTTCTATTGGTTGACCAATATTGTCAGTCACAAATGATCCGAAAGTGAATTCAATGTTGCCACTTGATGTATACCCGTTTACTTCTACTTTGTAGTAGCTCTCAAAAATTCCCTTTTTTTTTAATATTTTTGCTCATCCCGTTCATGATTTCCAAATAAGCTCTGAAGTGATTTCTGTCTATACAATCTCGACCCAAATTTTTCTTCTAAGGTCTATATCGACCTGATTGATTTCTATCGCAGAACCTATATCAAAACAAAGGTTATCCATATGCGTCTAGCACCTCATAACCGATGATGTATTCTAGTATTTTACAGTTATTATGATAGCTTCGTATAGTTGCCATTCTATCTCGAAATTTAGAGTGAATTATAGCCACGTGCGCATATTAGTTGCATTTGACACCCCCGGACGCCCACGCGCCGGAGGCTCCCATGGTTATACCTAAGGTACCAACTATAAAAACAGCCTTGCTATTGGCCATTCATGATATTCAAGATCTTCGAGGGATGGGAGTATAATTCGAAATAGGTCAACGAAATATACTGCCCTCAGGGTCAAAAGGGAATTCTTGTTTTCCATGGTGGCAAGCCAACGCTGTGGCTTGAACTCATTAACCGAAGAGGATTTATAGTACGACCAAAAAGCAGCGCCTAGTCCTATGTACATGTTTACTGTGTAAGGATATGTGCATAACACCTTGTCGAGTCATCCAATGAGAGTTAGGACAATGCAGGTAAGCACCCCATTGGGTATACTCATGACAATGGTATCCTCGGGTTTGGTCCGAGGCAAGTCGCATAAGAAGTTTACACTATTGGGTCATACTTGGAATTTGAGAAGAAGCCTTTATTGGGCTGGCTACATATGGACGATGACATGGCTTTGGTACCTACTCTACATTAGGTGGCAATGCGTGCTTCGGTGAAAAGGGGATGCCTACTAATTCATTCAATGAAGGGCCGAGACCATTTGGAAAATTAAACGATAGTATGCACTCTCTTATTCGGGGTTTTAGACTAATGCTGCGCACTAGACAAATGCTTCGTAACAAGGTTGACCCTCGGTAACCACCAATCTAGGAATCACTTGCAAGAAGTATATATGAAGCGCCAAAAAAATACTATTCACATCGCTTCTGAGCGAGCCAAGGGAATCTCAAGTACAAGTAGTGATTCTGAAACCGGCCAAAAAAATAAACAAAAAGCCAACCACCCGCATGGTCAAATCTAATTCCGCCATGAACCAACTAGACCGAGGTCGGGGGTGGATGATCCACGAAGAACCATCATACTACTTCCAAAAATCTCACGAGGAATTTTGCTCTCCAACGTCATTATCATCAAATTCATAGACCTTCACTTTACTTCCGGCGGGCGGTGTGGACGGTTTCGATGATCTTGTCCACGACACTGGGATCGGAGAGCTGCGAAGAAAATTTCGTTAGCTATTGTTCTGAGAATATGACTGCGAAAATTATGCTGCCGAGGGAGCGATGTGCTTACAGTCGATGTATCACCAAGGCTGTCCTCCTCGCCACTGAGAATCTTCCGCAGGATACGGCGCATGATCTTGCCACTGCGGGTCTTGGGGAGGTCCTCCACAACGAAGACAGCCTTGGGGGCGGCGAAGGGACCAATGGACTTGCGAACTTGCATGGCAAGGTCCTTGCTGATTTGTTCTGTTGTGCCGTTGCTCTCCTTGAGAGCGACGAAGGCATTGACAGCCTGGCCGGTTAGCTCGTCGGAGATACCAACGACAGCAGCTTCAGCAACGGAGGCTGTTCATAGTCAGTTTGGGCTCAGGTGGCAATTTTTGAATGTAATGTGGTTGCACTTACGGTGCTCGAGAAGAGCGGCCTCAATCTCAGCGGTGGACAGACGGTGTCCAGAAACGTTGACGACATCGTCGACACGGCCACGGATCCAGTAGTAGCCGTCGTGATCACGGCCAGCACCATCTCCGGTGAACTATAGACGAGTTAGTATCAATTACATAAATTCGGGCTGCAGGGCGGCTTACGTAGTAACCCTTGTACACGTTCAAGTAAGTGTCCATGTAACGCTTGTGGGCACCCCACACGGTGCGGGCCATGCTGGGCCACGGCTGCTTGAAGGCCAAAACACCCTCGACATCATTGCCAAGAATCTCCTCGCCGGAGACGGGGTCGATAATGGCAGGCTCGATACCGAAGAAGGGCAGGGAAGCACTACCGGGCTTGGTGGGGGTGATACCGCCAAGAGGGGTGATAACGTTTGAACCGGTCTCGGTTTGCCAGTATGTCTGTAGATTCAAAAATTAGAAGTTATTCCAATAGGTCCAAAGAGAAGGGGAAACGAACGTCGCAGATGTGAGCTTCCTCCTTGCCGACAGACTCGAAGTACCACTTCCAAACTTCCGCAGCGATGGGCTCTCCAACTGAGCCAAGAATACGTAGACTTTTCATCTTGTGGTGAATGTGCTCATCTCCAGCGCGCTTCAACAGACGCAGAGCGGTGGGTGCAACATAGAATTGTGTGACATCGTGCTTGTCAATGACATCCCAGTAGCGGGAGAAGTTAGGGTAGGCGGGAGTGCTCTCGAACACAACGGTGGCACAGCCAAGCAATAGAGGGGCGTACACGACATAGGTGTGACCAGTAATCCAACCGACATCACCACCGCAGAAGTAGCGATCATCATCATGGATATCAAACACGTACTTTCCAGTCATGGCAGCACCAAGCAGGTAGCCGGCAGTGGTGTGCATAACACCCTTGGGCTTGCCGGTTGAACCGGAAGTGTAGAGCAGGAAGAGAGGGTCTTCGGAGCTGACTGGCTCAGGGGCGAGGTAGTTGGGGTACTTCTCGACCTCCTCGTGCCACCAAATATCACGGCCAGCGGTCCAGGGCACCTCGGCACCAGTGCGCTTGAACACCAGAACGGTGTGCACGTCGGGGCACTGCTTCATAGCTTCGTCCACAATCTTCTTAGTGCCAATGACCTTGCCACCGCGCTTGCCCTCGTCGGAGGTGATGACGACCTTGGAGGCGGCGTCCAGGACACGATCCCGGAGAGAGTCGGAAGAGAAACCAGCGAAGACAACGGAGTGCACGGCACCAATACGCGAGCAAGCCAGGAAAGCGATCACCGCCTCGGGAATCATGGGCAGGTAGATGCCGACCGTGTCACCCTTCTTGACACCACGCTCCTTCAGAGTCCAGGCAACCCGGGACACCTCGCGCATTAGCTCTCCGTAGGTGATCTTGCGGCCCTCGTTGGGCTCATCGGCCTCATAAATAATAGCGACCTTATCTGGGTTCTTAAGAGCATGGCGATCGACACAGTTGAACGATGCGTTCAATCGACCCTCAACGAACCAGGCATTGTCGCCGTTCTCGAACGAGCCGTGGTGTGTGGTTTCAAAGTCCTTGTCGAATGTGAGGAGCTCGCGGGCCATGCGAGCCCAGAAAGTGTCGGGACTCTTGATTGATTCTTCATAAAGCTTCTTGTACTCGTCGATATCCTTAAGGTGGGTGCCGGTGGGGTGCTTATCGTGGAACGCCTTGGGGACGTGGAAAGTATCGACCTCGTGGGCTTCTTGCACCTATATCACCAACTGTTAGCCCGTGATACTGTGGTCACTAGAGCTACGCTGATCTAGTCATTCCCGGTAAGGAGGAAGGTAATCCTTACCACTGCAGGTTTAGGAGGCTGAATAGGGCCGTCCGACATGATTGTGGGGTCCAATAAGAATTATCAATGCAAAATGAAGTATATAACAAGTCCTATGCGAGATCATATGTCAGAGGAAATGAGTTGCGAAAAGTCCGGAATAGGGAAATGCGAATAAGGTGGGATGAGCTTGAATGCAGATAGTGGGGGAAGGTTGGCTAGGAATGGACTTACTGTGGGAGTTGAGGATTATAATTTATAAAAGGAGTATGAATGTGCAAAACAGTTATAGTAGAGAAGAAAAGAAAAAAAAGAAGATCTAAAGAGGGGATTCACGACAATATTAGTAGTCCAGCTTTCCCGGGTGGATGTGGCACTTCCCTTTCCATGTCGGTGGTCCGTGCACTTACAATAAAATACCCCAAATACCACTCTATCTAGCCGCCTATAAAGTACATAGTACATATGCATTGTACTATGTAAGATTATCCACTTCGATCTTCGAATTAGGAAAATGAGATACATTCTCAATACACTATAATCTACAACATAGGCCAATTTTATTGCAATCATCACATACAAACATACATACGAGTTTGGGTTCGGCCATGCGGGGGTTGTCATTCCTTCCGTTGCTCCGGGGTAAGCTGCCCCTCCAATATTTTGACTAAGATGATGCCCGCCACCTTATTGGGGCGTTTCAAGTCGGAAAGAAACGCTAGTTCAACCGACCGCAGCCTAGGTATGCCGCATTGAACCCTTTGTCCGAGTCCAATAGGCGGAGGTTATAATCTTGGCTTAGCCAAGGGCCAAGGTCCGGGGTGGTCGCGGGCCAGGGGAGAGCGGGCCACAGGAGACCTGCAAGTCAGATATTCAGAGATACAAGCGTATGCTCGAGCCCCTCTCCCGAAGGCCTTTTCATGCCGAATATGGATATTTGAGGCCGCACTTCGTGAGCATACATTTGTATCCCTATTTTACTGGCTACCTAGGTATGGAACTTATTTTTTTTGGCAATA